TGGCGCGTCGCCGCGAATTGATCGTTCAGCGAGTACCGCGAGCTGGGCCGGCGCAGGCCACTCTGCTGAGAGGGGTACCGACTGTCATCCTGGAATACAAGCGAGTCCCTCGCACGGCCTGAGTTCCTCGCGCGAGGGACGCGAAGGCTGCTGTTGTTATTGCTGCCGCCGTAATAGTCCGACATGGTGCGCGTACGGACGAGGGGGAGGGGAAGAAGTGAGGGGTAGACATTTCGGCCAGGCGCGTCGACTCGGTGGGCATTTTAAATTTGAAACGCTTCGTCTCGTCTTTAGAGGTGGGAAGATAGGCATTAACCGGGCACGAATTTCATGCGTTCGACTGGCTGGGCGCCCAAGCATGAAGGACGCCAGAGCTAGTCAGGGGTCTGGGCATCAGGCACCGTCCATAGGACATATGAGATGATGCTACACTGGACAGGGGTCTTCAAATAGGTGGTTCGACCTCTCGCAAGACTGTGTGGGGAGGACCAGATGATTGGATCATGATGGTGGTTTTGTCTATCTATCTATTCCATCTATATCTATTGTATTCTGCTTTTGAAAACGCGTTCATCAAGAAGAAAATGAAAGGCTGGGATAGTCTAAGGGGTATACAAAAAGAAGCTGCTGGTAACAAACCAAGTAACGCGACAAAACAAATCTAACCTTTTTTGTGATTAAACGAGTGTGAAAACGGCGTGTTCGTGTCATGAGCTCTCAGGCTAGGGGTTCGTGTCCTTATACTCTAGCCAGATTCGTGAAGCTGACAATGCCGTATCGCCTTGAGGATAATCCCTCTTCTGTGATTGGAGCCACTGGCCCTGCTTGGAAATGGAAATGCCTAGTTGCTCGAGCCATCCACGTTCTTCGATGATGCTGGGGCTCTTCCTGCGGTTGATCTTGCTGCTGCTCCGGTTCGTGGTTTTTGTCGTCTCCATATATGTCCTCGTGCGTCTGAGCCTCTAGATTGGCAATGCTGTCCATATCGAATGACTCTGAGTTCCTGCTAATCGAGATCTGAGGCGGGTGCGGCAGGTGAGTGAGAATGAGAACAGCCATGAAACAGATGGTAATGATGGGTAATTGCCAAGGTGTCATGAGGAACGCGAGCGTCAGCTGGGAATTGACAGAGATGATGGCGACAAGGCCCAGCCCCAAGCCTATAAAGAAGACTGCGCCGGTACGGAACCTATTGAAACCTGTCCATCCCTTGCGCTTCGATAGGAGATGAAGTATCATCAGGAGAGCGAGAACAGTGCCCGCACTTGCGAATAAATACGAGAACTAGATGGACCACGTTAGCGATGTAATTGCTAATGGCAAGCGAGGACGGGTTACGAAACAGAACAAAACGTACAATCAGCTGGAGTCTATCAAGTGTCTTTTTGGTAGCAGCAAGCTCAGCAGCGCCAAGGCTATAAGCCTCGCCGTCATCCTCGTCCTCCACCGCGACCGAGATGTCAAAGGCGTCACTAATAGTGTTCATAACAGTACTAGTTATCGCCAAGTACGCCTCAGCCCATGTATCGTAGGATCCTTTGTCTGAGGTCGGATGGACGCTTGCCCAGAAAGCATCGGGAATGCCCTCTAGGCTCTCCAACGCCGTGTTGAGGTTCTTGGTGGCACTCTCGAACTTCTTCGGGTCTCCCACGTACTCCCACATCATGGCCTGGGCTGTGACGCGTAAAGATGTGACGACGGTGTTTGTGCTGAGCGTTTTCATCCCTACCCGAGCGGCGGTCTCGAGTGCGTTGCCCGCCCCGTGTATGGCTTCCATGAAGCGCCACCAGACAACCCATTGGTTACCGCCTTCGGCGAGGAGAACAAGGGCGATGTGGAATGGGAGATGGACAAGGGCCCAATAGGCTTGATTTGAGGCGCTCATCTGGTTATGGTGGTGCATCCAGTCGAAATACAGCTGAAATGTAATGTACGTAATAGCGGCTGCAGATGTGATGATGCCAATGAGGGCGGGGGCTGGCGGGAGAACATGTCAGTAAGCTGTACACTAAGAATATATATGAACCTGTGGGAGAGACCTACACCAGTGATCTGAGATTTGCTTGATATAGGTATATTCGACGACTTTTGTAATATTCTTGGCGAGAATGATGACGCCCTCGCCGAGGATGATCAGCGTGAGCAAGTTCAGTCTCTCGTTGAAATGCGTGCCCTCGAAGCTCAGAGTCTGGGAAAAGGTAGCGTGGAGGATGTGGACAGCCATCTCGGTAATGCCCCCAAGATACCAAGTGAGCACGAGGTGTTGATTAGGTTGGGTGGACGGCACAACAGCGATGATGAGGTAGATCAGCGCGGGAACGAGGTGTAGCACGATGGCCACGAGTAGCGAGTTGCGGCTCCTCGGATGATGGCGCGCATGCAAGAGAACGAGGCCATACTGTGCGGCGAGGACCAGCCTCGAAACCATGAGGAACAGCGCTATCTGGTCAGTATATCAACTCTAAGATCTCACGTTTGTGGATGGTGAATATAGTTGAATGTGTGCTTACACATTGATTGAAAGATAGCCCTGACGAGATTCTGATTCTCGAACGAAACACCAGCTTCAGCAAAACCAATCATAACGGCGAGATGAAATGCGCGGGCGATGCGCTCGAGAATCCCATCTTGACCAAAACGAGCATCGAACAATGTTGTAACCAGCCATGTCGTCCAGAGCAGACTGAAGGAAGAGATTAGCTATTATTTCTTCGCGGTAGTGAACGTCTAGAGAGTGAAGGTAGACTGACATAAAGTATCCGATGAATGATGCCAGTGTATCCTTCTCAGTGATTGGATGGACTGTGGCGAAGACATTCAGGTTGGCCACGAACCAGAGGTCGTAGAATAACTATACAAGATGTATGTTAGAGAAGGCATATGTCTGATGAAATGCGGGTAAATTGAGCTACCTCGGACGTTGAAGCAGATTCTCTCTAATGCAACAGTAGTGTCAGCTGATTTTGTACGGTATGCGGATGGTAAATGCTGCCCAATCTTACCTTGGCAAACTGAAGGGGAGAGCTCTCCAGGCTGGCGGGACGTTGAGACTCGACATCAGGGCTTAGAGCTCGGAGCTGCTCGTCTTCGTGCAAGCTCTCAGAACGGTGGTCGTCTGTGGTCGCCTCCTGGATAGGGTTCGAGGTTATTCCAAGCTTGGAGCTGGCGAATCGAAGGTGGGAGTCTCGACGATCTTTGACGGTGATGTTTGTGACGCTCGAAGCAACGAGAGTGGCCTCGCCGCTGCACCTGCTCTCGCTCCGGCTGCTGTGATGTGCCTGCATCATCTCCGGAAGCTTCATGGGGAAAATATTAGGTAAAAATCATCTTGGCGAGAAGGGAGTGATGGGGATGCCAAGAAACGATATATGTATGAGGGAAACGATCTACGTGAGAAGGAGAGACAATGACGGGATGTATCGGGACTCAGAATGCGGCGTGTTAAAAAGGGCACAGGTCCCTTTGTCAATATTGGATTGCACGTTGTTATCTCCCGGCAAATCTCTGCCGTGGCAGAAGAAACGAGCGTCTGTCTGGTAAGCGGAGTGAGACAAAGGTGATACGGGCGAAACAGATTGACGTCTGGCTACAGGAGCTGGCGCGGACCGACCGACGGTCTGTGTAGCTAAGCGCAAGCCCAGGAATCGAGCTCGTCTGGCCCAATCAAGCTGTGGACAACGGTAGCTAGTGGAATAATAACACGGAAGAGCGATCAGGGGCAGGGAGCAGTCGTGATGTTCAATGTGATTGATAATGCGCGATCCTTGTGTGAATGGCGCTGATCACTGCAGATGAGCGCTGTGGCACTGCCGTTCAGTGGCCTCTGCACCTGTCGCGAGGGGTGATACAGGCGGGCTGCTGCTCTGTGACGCCTAAGACAGGGCCTAGACGCTGCTCTAGCGCTGTGGAAGCCTGCCGCTCAGCGGGGTCATGCGCTATGACGGATCTCCGAGCCTTCTGTGCCAATCATTCCGCCATGATCTGGGATCTTCGCGGCGGCTCCTGAGACACGTTGACACAACATCTGCCTGGCGATCTCATACGGGTCATATCTGCTGGCTGATATGTTGGCATAAGCTCCCGATTACCCGATAGCCGGCATGAGCTTCGTGTTTGCTTAACGCGTCCCTTGTAGATGCCAGATCAGACAGGCACCGCCGCGGCAGACTTGTGCCGACACATGGCCTTCCCGCTCGACCCTGGTTGGGCTTGTATCAGTGGCTTCAGATTGGATAACTTATGTACAACTAGGTAAGCATTCTCTAGCATAAAGCTGTCGGTTGGGCACCCATACGGCTCCTCGGCTCCCGCAGTGTCTTGCCTGACGCAACTCTTGGTGGCTCTGTTGTCTTACATGCGCCTCCAAAACCCTCTCGGCCTCTTTCTCACTTCAGACACAATCCATCATTAGGTATGTACCTGCTGTGAGATGTCGCCGTGTTATCCGTCTTGTCTGATCGCCCTCTGCTTACGTATGGGCTAAATGCCTCCCAATGAAGGCACTAAGTTTATAAATCAAGGCCGCCTGCAATTACCTGCACGCATCAAGCCCTGTCCTTTCTTTCATTCGGCGTTTTTCTTTCCCCTGCTAGATTGCTTTAGTATGAGAGGGAGAATTTAGGGAGACATTGAACACGCACTAGCAACCCTCTCAAGTAAAGGGGCCTGTTCTCAGACAAAGCATTAATTTGGAAAAAGGCAGGAAAGGATTCACTATCTGGCCAGCTGGTGCTTATTTTGTGGGCGTTCAAGGCCCTCAAGGCCCTTGCTTGTGTATGAATAGCCTCACAAGTCAAAGCGCAGACTTGTTGCTTACTTGACCTTAATTCAGCTCTCATGCCTTTTGTTCGGCCGCTTTCATCTTGTTGAACCCTCATTTTATTTTGCCATTATGGCAGAGCGCAACTGACCGTGGCACTATATATAAAAAAATTGCTGTCTTGGAAATGCTGACGTGGTTAGGCGAACAACGAAAACCGAAATCTCCTTGCTGAAGCCATCTATTTCGGAAGATCATTCAAGCTGACGACTGAGACCCAAATGTTCTCCTTATTCTCGCTGTACGCCACCAGCAATTTATCCCCGACTTGCACAGCGGTTGGGTAACTAAACCCATGCGCTCTACTCTTCAACCCGTCCCTCGTGTCCGGCGCAATAACATTACTTGCATTGGTCCTCAACACGCCAACACCTCGGTAAGCCTGATCCTCGCCCCGTGACATGGCCAAGGTCAGAGGCTGCCTTTCGCGAACCTCACTGTTCCATCTCGGATTCCAGACCAAGTATCTATCTCCGCTCTCCGCAACTTGGCCAAGGTATTGTTTCGTTCTGGCATCGGGGATATTAGTCTGGAAAATCTCGTTCCCGTACTGAGCGAGCCGACGGGGATACCATCCTCTGCCCTCCGGTTCCTCGTTGTATTCGACCCATATCTTCTGGGTGTTGGCCGAGTCTCCCGATATGTCTCTCCAGAAACGCTGCCAGTATCCTCCTGTAGGCGACGAACTGTCATTGAACCACACCGCGTGTGTCTGTTCCTGCATAGAGTGAGAGTCGTCTGCCGCAAACAGCTCGTTATTGTACAGCCAAGACGACCACGCGGGAGCCTCATCAGGTTTTATCAACTTCTCGTTGATCTCGCATGCCCGCCTGCACCCTTTCATCCCGTACTTGGTACCATACACGGTCTCATTGAACAGCTGAGAGTGCGTCAATTCGTTCTTCTCGATCCAGCAGGGGTCGCCGGCCGGCTCGCCATCGAATGTGATGCGCCGTGCGATACGGCCTGCCGTCATGAACCTCCCAGGGCACCAGCGCGTCCCTGACTGCCCAATCGCATAGAGCTCGCCCTCCCCGTCCGGTGTCGGCAGGTGTACAAAGCTCAGTGCCTGCCAAGCCCGTTGTGCAGCCTTGATGTTACAGTAATATGTATAGTTATGGTGGGCATCTGTCTGGTTTGGAAGAAGCGCGGCGGGGAATAGGCTGGAACTTGGACTCCAGGTCATGCCTGCATCCTTCGATGTGCTGATCCAGACGTCTTGGCCCATGCTATCCTCGTCAATGGGGGCGGAGGAGTGAATCAGGTAGACATTGTCACCGAGAGCGAAAAGCTCCGGGTGATGTGCATAAGTGCGCCCTTCCTTGACTCCATTGTATATCTCGACCTCCTTGATCACGGGAATCTGGTCCCATCCAGCGTAGAGGGTGTCACTGTAGTCCAAGTCAGGTTGGACCTGCCATAGCGTTGAAGGGTCTGGTGGAATTGCTATAGCAAGTGAGGCTAAGAAGCCAATGAGCGTGGCAACTTTTCTTGTCAGTGGAAGCATTTCTTATATACAAGCCAACCTGCCAGCTCAAAGCGGTCACTGCAATGTTTAAGTTGTCATAAATCCCATTCAATTTTCATTTCTCTGATATATCTGTGCTTGTTGTCTGTCGTCTTCCCCGCCTCCAGTAATTCCTCCGTGCCAAGCGAAAATACCAATAACTGGCGAATGAGAATTCGTCTTATGTTCTGTGATCCTTTGTTGTCCCCATGAAAAATTACGCCGGCTAATATCACCCATGCGGACATACACCGGGGAGAATCCACCAACTGGCTTAACGGATTGTCAGAAACTAGAGAATTTCCTAGAACAAATGAAAATGATATCGGTCTTCTCCGAACTAACTTAATCTCATTTCTGTCATTCGTTATTACGGGCTCGGCCTGGTCTGCTCTGTCTTCATCAATGGATCCTAGAAGACGGATTGGCATTGCTGCTATCTAAATATCTAGAGTTTCGACATTGACGCTTGCCCGGATACTCCTACATAAAATATAATGTCATTCTTAAAGCTTACTGTCGCTTCCATTGAGCGGGTATCCGCCCGTAAACAAATATCACCAATTATCCAACCTACATTGCTGTAGTAGCACTCTGCTCTTTCTGCTCGGTGTCTATCGTAGCCCTGTCGCCATATGTAACTGTTATCACATCGGTTCTCTTGATATGTCGACTGTGCATCTTGGGATTCTGTCCATCGGTGCCTTTGCCGTCCTTGGGGAGAATGCTCTCCTGGGAGTCCAAGTCCGGGTCGCCCGAGCGAGTGCCAATAGGATGGCTTGTTACTGTATGCTGGATTCCTGAGCGTCCGATTTTGGAAAGTTCCATGCCCCCGTGTCGTCCGCATCGGTCGTTGTGATAATCGTAGTTTTTGGAGGAGGATGAGGAGCCACTGAGTATCCTTCTGCCGAATAGCATCTCCACCAGTGGTTGCAGAATCGGGATGCAGCAGGCTATGACTGTGCTAGTTGCCTCGGCCCTGCGTGCACGCAAAGGTCAGTGATCGAACCGAGTGGGAAACGAATCTGCTATGTCGGCTGCAACTTACGCGGTCCAAATGACCAGATCTGCAGTATCATCTTTGCGAATGGTTAGTGGTCCATGGATTCTTGAAGTCTAAAGATAGGAGTCAAAGTCTCTCACAGATGAAATCCGGCGAGGCCAAGGAATCCAGGCGGGTTGACTTGTATATGGCGACGCCGCAGGAGCTATAGAGAACATTAGCCCAACACTACCGAGTTGCAAAGGCGACACGACTGACATCGATCCGATGCCGAGGGCAACAGAAAGGGCTGTCTTCTTTCGAATGTTTATTTGCAGGCCCCATAATATAACTGCCGGATAGATGGCAAGGCACAGATCCGTAAAGGCCGAGATCGCTGGTTTAGTTAGCATCACGGATGTCATCGGATACGAGCATCAAAGCCAACCTCCTGTATAGATGGAAAAGTCGATGAGCACCCATGGGCTGATACATTTCCCTTCTGGTGCGCCACCCCACATGAAAGCTGCCGGGGTACATTGCGTGAATAAGATGATGATGCAGATGCTGACGGATATGAGGCAGAGCCATGCCAAACCCCATAGACAGGCGTGGTGGACTCTGGATGGGTTTAAAAGTCGTGTGAGGAGCGTGGCCACGGCGAGCTTCGGAATCGTGAAGGATAATACACCAAAAGGGAACGACAGTATGGTATAGAACTTGGCGTTTCCTTGCTGTTCGAGAGTGAGTGTGTTGGTGTGTGTCCGCTTCCGTGTGCAACCGCTACGATGGCCGTCGCAGCGTTCGCCCATCCAAACGCCTAAGATTACACAGACCGTTAATCAATTGCTCGAACATTGTCGAGGGCGACGGACGTGCCGGTTTGGGTCAGGGTGATGCGGCACTCACCGTAGCTAGAATAATCAGGTAGTCATCGACCTGTACATTTTTTCTGATATGTTTTCTTGTGAATAGGCGGAGGCAGACGAAAACGGTTCCCAACGTCCACAGTGTAAGGCAGGCTGCCTTGATGGCCGGGCCCTTATCGTCCTCCATTGGTTGAAGATTCGATCACCAGTCGAGTCCATCAGCGAAGAAGTTGCCACAACGGCCGCATGGAACAGAAACAAGAGAAGAAGAAGAAGAAAATCTAAATTTCAAGAAATCACCGGGACTCGTGATCTCTGGTAGATCGCCGGCATCTGGCCAGGGTCCTCCAGCCCCAAATCTTATTATTGGAGGGGGTCTAGATGAGGATCCCCGAGTCCATGTTGAAGCCAACCCACGCGAAAATCTAATTGCCCACCACTTTGTGCGTTGGTGCCCTTTAGCCCGTCGATCGCCCGCTTTCTGTATCCACATATATTAATTCATAAGAGGTACAAAATGGAAACATACAGGCATGTCTGAGCGCTTCCCCCGTTGAGACCAGGCAGCTCGGGCATATGTACAGCGGCCACCTCCCTCAACATAAGATACCTCAGTGTTCATTGTGTTTGCAGTTAACAGACGACGCCGAGGCTAAGACTTCGTGATAGATACTGACTACAGGGCCCAGTTACATCGATCCTCTCTCGTATTATCATGTGACGAAATAGTGACGGGTCATGTCTTGTGAGTGGAAATATCAGTCAGGGCTACACAACACCCAGGATGTGTATATTGATGTAGATGCTAACATATGGGGATGGTTTTTATTGGCTTCAAACATGAAACCGGTGGATGGGTGGCACGTGGTGGCTGATTCGAAGATTACGTATCCCAACATAACACTCATCATGTGAAGTCTCCCTCCCCCCTTTTCTGAGCCATGTCACTGTTTTTCCGTAGGCACTCTTTGGTCTCTCCAGAACCAACCAAGCCCACGGATCTGCAAAAACAAGACCAATGGGGGATCGCGTAACAAGCCGACATCCAATAGCCATGACCGCGCTACGTTGGCCCTACGAGATTTTGTCCAGGATTCAGAAGGCCCATCAGGCCAAGGCAGTTAGCTCGGTCTTCCGTCCTAGCCGCCATCTTGGCCAACGGAACCATGGACCAGCGCCACCTAAACTAACGAATCAGCCTGGGGTAGTTCCCGAGAGCGATATCCGGTGTCCGGTTTTCGTCTTTAGCACCAACGGAAAGCCAAGAATGAATGTTACCGGTAATCGGTTCTGAAGCGATTATCAAGGTATAGACACGGCCTGCTAACATTATGTGAGATGCTATTACTAACATATAATTCGTAGTATCAACACTGAACCAACATATGTCGTATGACTAGTCTTTGTTTCACCTACGCTACAGGTTGAGGCTGACCACTATGGCTAACGCCGAACTACTAAAGAATTACGCAGAGACCTCCCTACAGCAACCGCCCCTAGAGATTGGGCCTCTTCCAAGACAGAACATTTTGAATAATGCTGGACCCGTGCTGGAGACCATTCTTCGCGCCACATTGAGCAACGTGCTTCGTATCGTTCGGGCCGCTCGTGGCATCCTAAACCCGAACGACGGAACGACCATGGCTGCTCTCAAGACGGCATTTCCCGAGGTATCAGCGGCGTACTTCGTGCCACACTACTACCTTCTTAAGCCTGATCTCAACAACCCTATCAAGAAGGTATTGGACAACACAGTCGAAATCCCGATCCCTAAAAGAGCGGCAGAGGCCAAGACACTATTCGATACCTTGTGGACACCGGATGCAAGCAGAAAAATCATCAACATGGCCTACAGGATATACCATTGGGTCATTGCCGAAGATGATGAACTCAACTTCGCCGGTGGAGGCGTCTCGATGGGGACGCTGCGCTGAAACATATCGAATCTGTGAGCTCCTGTAAGTTCCCCCAGCTTATCCCGACGCTTTAGTTCCTCAAGCCATACTCATATTTGAAGTGATATTAAAACCAGCCAAGGCCCTACGTGGCCTCAGAGAAAGCTGCTTGGTGCACCTGATGAATCTTTGGTCAAAGGGGTCGCAATGGAAATTCGCGCCTTCAGCAACCTGGTACCTGCGGCCCCAGATGTTGATATATTTGCCTTGGAGCAAAGCTTCACTTGGGTCACACCTGCAGAGATTCACCGATGCCGTGATCCGGGACTGTTCAGGCTGCCGTGCCAAAATTGCCAGATTTTGTTGCCAGAGATGGATGTACGTGTCGGGAAGGATAACTACGACACTGAGCTTTACCAACGGCAGCCAGACTTTCGGGTCGTTTAGGTATCTGCAGATGCGCAAGCAATTGATTAGAATAATTTGGCACTGCTTGATTGATTTTCTCATCAAACTGCATGTGCTTCAGTGCATGGTGCGATTAACACCATAAGAATGAAACTTAAACGTCAATGTTACTACTTTCCTCACAATCTAAGGCATTCTATATTAAAACTAAGTCTTAGGCCCTTCCGACTCGCCAGCGCCCTATGGGAACATGGCATCAGTTCTTGTTTGGATGTCCTAGTCATACAGAGTTAAACAGGTGCCCTCGCGCAAACTTTCAGGAAGTCTGGGTTGAACAAGATAGGCGGCCTACCAACAGTTCATCCCACATAGGATCAGTACAATGTTTTCACGGCGATATTACTGTATTTGCAAATAATTCATTCAAAAGACCAACAGTCGAGTTGGTGCTATTCAAAAGATGGGAATGACATGTCCTCAATAAAATCCTTGCAAGGCCAGGCATAAATAGCACGGGGGCTGCATGTCAGCTGGACCAGCATGTATCATATACGACTGCAACTCGCTGTTGGTCGAGTAGTGAGTAAAAAGGGGAGAATAGCCCACTTATGATACCAGTCGCTGCAGCTCGTTGGCTTGGCTGCTTGCACCAACAACATTCGAGTTGGGTGCCGGGCAGTGCAGCAATGCTCCTAATATAGCCGATGCACAAGAATAGGGTTACATTTGGCCGGATTGCGCTCCTCTTTTCGGTATGTTCCAGTAGGAGCCGTCAGCTTTGATCCCAATAAGGCAACATGCATATGATTGTTCCCAGGATGCGGCAGGATTCGGATGTGTCGTTAGGACTAACGTGCTTTAGTACCTGACAAAGAAACTCTTGAAATAGATTGGGGGAGCTACATCGCGAGTGATATAATTTAGGAGCCTTCTTCCTTAACATGAGATATCCGTCAGCTCAGCAAACTTTTTTACATGTTGGAAAATCATTCAAACCATCACTTGCAGCACGAGCTCAACAGCTTTCAATTCACATTATTCTTGTCGGTGCCCTCACCATTCACCACAATACAACTAGTTCTAGCGTATCTAACAAACTTCTTCCCAGTCTTCAAGATGTTCGGCCTCAAGTTCATCGTCCTCTCCCTCTCGGTGCTTATAAGCCGAGCCCTCGCCATCAACGTGATTCTCTTCGCGAAGGGCCCCAAGATGCCAAAGGAGGTGACAAAGGAATGGGCGATCCCAGTAAACTCATGCGACAAACCAGAGAAGACCATCGTTGAGAAGATGGGTAGCTGGTCCAAAAACAAGTATACAGCTCAGATGGGTACCGGCCAAAACGCACGGGTCGTCGTCAAGCCCACTAAGGAACCAGACACGGAAGCTGCTGCCATCCAGATGCTCAAGGACATGGACAGCATTTTGGCCAAGAATACCAAGAAGGGGTGGTGCGACAAGCTCGTTGACAAATTCAAGGGGGGCAAAAAGGAAACTAAGAAAGGTAAAGGGAAGCGGATGGCTATGCGCAGGCGAAATGCCAGAGCCCGACGAGGCTACAAGGCCAAACGAGGCTCGAGAGGTTACTAGATAAATCAGGGAAACTTTCCATAGTGTTAGCTTACGCGTGATACCAAGGGGATATATAACGGGCAGGTGCAAAGTGTTAGTGTTCACGCTTTCATTACGAGATGCGTCACAATTTTAATAACCATGAGCTATATGTTACAGTAAAAGTGTCTTTCAGTAATCATTCTAAATGATACAGACCCGAGTGCTAGCAATGATGGATGCTATGAGCTTCGGCACCATGAGAACACCCGAGGCTTAAGGCGCTTGAAGAAGATAGCTCAACTCCATGCCGGCTCTACCGCCACAAAGTTGCCATAGAGCTGTTCCTCCTACACAGCAGATTATCTACGTGAGTCGACGACAGGGTTCCAAGGGAAGTACTTCACAAAAATAATATCTCGCTGGCTAACACCTCTCCGTCGCCGCCCCTTTGGCTGGTGGGGCAGCGCGAGGCCATTGACCCACGACACGAGTACTAGGAAGACGAGAAGTCCAAAAAGACAGTCCAACGGACTGGCTAGTGGAGTTTGTGTGGATCGAACACACGACCTTCAGATGTCTAGAGACTGAAGTCAACTTCAGTCTGACGCTCTCCCAACTGAGCTAAAACTCCAGCTGATTGGTTGATGACAGTTGAGCTCATCCCGATACAATAAACTCGCAAGCACTCAGACTTGAGTAATTCAACGAAAAGGGAAAAGCAAAACGATGTCGAGGTTGTGTAGACTACGCAACCTTGAAAGGTCAAAAGACTAGGGACTAAAGTTGGGCAGAGTCTGGACTGGAGACAAACCAACATTGGCAGCCAGACACCTCTTATGTCTGCGAAGTGGGTGCTTTGAGTCTACATTCTTGCTCTACTCTACCGTCGACCTGGGGATATTGAAAGATCCAATACATATATACAGAGCGACGACCACTTTGTCGGAACCGACCAAACGGCATTTGTCAATTCCACAAGGGAGATTGGTGTTTAATGAGTGCGAAATTTTCGTCGAGTGGATCCTGCGAGCTACCCTAGAGCTGAGGTTGGCTTCGTGTCTACATGTACTGGGACGTGTTTCTCGAATTGAAGACAAGGAATGGTGGCCTAGTAGCCAAGGGAAGAGAAAACTTGAAGAAAGGAAAAAAGATCGATATACAGGGGGAAATATCATGGACCTTGAAGGAAGGCTACTGACAGACTCAAGGGCCTTCATGTTGCTTCTCTTGGTGTTCCCCTGACAAATCTTATCGGTTTAATAAGGACTTCGTAATTCCCTCATTTTCGTTCCTATGTCAATAACTGATAGCAATCAATCCTAATTAAGTTTCTTCATGTGTTCTATTATTTATCGCCTCAGAACTAACCTACATTATCAAACTTGTCCAATCTAGACGAGTTTGTAGACCAGAGAATTGAAAATCACTATCTATTCAGGAATAAGAAACCTGAAGACATCAATCTGGAGTTTTAGCTCAGTTGGGAGAGCGTCAGACTGAAGTTCAACTTCAGTTCTCATTGACATCTGAAGGTCGTGTGTTCGATCCACACAAACTCCAATCATTTGCTTTTTGTCCCCTTGGCCATCTGCCAATCCGACCCATTGCCTGCGCAGTCTCAATTTTTGTTCTTGTTCTGGGGGCGTTACGGCCTTGTATTTCTGCCATGTCGGGGTACTGGTGCAGTGCGGGCGGCGGTGAATTGACGATGATTGTATTACCGCTTATCAACTTTTATTACATTCCCACGGGAGACAGTTGACAATTTAGACCCACCAGGCACTTTTTTTTCACACTTCATTTCCCGAGCTAAAAATTCCCTTTGTTGGCTTTTGTTCGCTCTTTTGTCAATTATTTGTGGTTTCTGTCCCCATCCGTCTTTGTCCTTAGGTGACCCTGGTATTATGAAGCCTTGGCTAAGACGAGAGTTAAATTCCGGGCAATTTGCGGACGGCTGAATTTGAGCTTCGGCACGCAACTACGATGGTGGAAAAAAGGGCGAGATTTCAACCAGCCCCAATTCCACACGGACGGTTTTTTAGGCGAGTGTGCTCGGTTTTGGATCTTAAAGCCTTTTGGGCCTGCCAACCACCTCAATTAGACCAGAGAGAATCGGGAATATCAACTGCAATTGATCGTAACAAAACCGTTTCATTAAGGGAACCAACCATAAACATTATCATCTCATCCAAGGACCTTTGGTTAGAAGAGTTTGTGACGTGCACCACCAGCCCAAATGAACACATCTGCACATCTGGGTAGCCCGGTCTGAGAAAGAAGTAGTGAACTTAGGTGCCTGAAAAACGAAATGTGGCTTTGCAGCCAAGCGGCGAACAATCAAATCAAGTGCCATCGGTGTTGAACTGACAGATGTAGGCATGAGTACACCGGGGACTGTATCGACCTCTGCGAAAAACGACCCTTCTTCACATTGAATATAGCTTTTACCATTGTAGCAGATAGAATTGCTATGAGGCAATTTAAGAGGACAAATTTAAACGCAGTCTCTCGAATGTATATTGGCTGGCTGCATCGAAGGTTACCGAGCGCCATTGAGTTTGGCGCATAGAAAGATTTACGCGCTGACAAATCCATCGACAGAGGAGTTTTAGCTCAGTTGGGAGAGCGTCAGACTGAAGTCAAACTTCTGTTTCCTGTTATCTGAAGGTCGTGTGTTCGATCCACACAAACTCCACTTCTCTGTTCTCTTTTGCCAATTTGTTCTCTTCGTTTTATTATCTTTTTATGTTACGGAGGCCGATTGTTATTTTCTACTACTGCTTCTTCTTCTCTCTTTTTTTTTTTTTTTTTTTTTGTAAATTGCGGGATAAGCGACCGTAATTGCATTGACCCTTGCGTAGTGAAGGGGTGGATGAGAAGCCGTTAAGAAAGTCCGTGATACACTCACTCTCTTACCTTATATTTGTCGCTATGGCGCCTGCACCTTACGCGATCAAGAAATGTAGGCGAGTCGAAGGAGGCTTCTGATCCTCTTCCGTAAAATCCAAGGGAACTGTCCCTGAAATCGACTGGGATGATCATGTAACATCTTCAATTCATCAAGTCTATCTCTATTCTTCTATGCTAGAAGTAGGCCGTTAGGTCAGATAAATCATTTCGCCGAGTCTATTTCTCCACTTGCGGTGGAAGCCACTTAATTTTCAAATTCATCAAAATGGCATGGGACACAGGGAAGTAAACAGGCTTTCTGGTCATGCCTAGGCAGGCAGCTTGAAACCAGAGCGACGAAGCTTCTGGAAGACGCCGTGGGGATCATAGCGCTTGGCAGTCTTCTTCATGAACTTGACGTTTTCGGCACCGTAGCTTGCGATGACATCCTGATCGCCAAGAGCGTAATTCAAATAGATGTAGTCCTTGTGGGCTCCAATCTCCTTGCCATATGCGATGATGGACTCGCGGAATTCGAGAGTGAGGGGGTGGATCTTCTCTTGATTCTCCGGGGTGTCGACCGTGCACATGATCATCCACATGATTGTTGGGCCGTCCTTGGTAAGCTCAGTGAGGCCAAGCACGTTGCCGCCAGCGTCCTCTGCGTGTTTGGCCATCAGAGGCGTCACGGGCTGGAATTGGAGGAGGAGGTTGAACTCGGAGCCGGGGGCAGCGGCCTGCATCTTCTCGATGGTCTCGGCGTGTTTCTTCTCGGCGAAGCGCATCGCACGGACGTCGTTGGAGAACTGGCCGGCCATCCAGTTGGCACTGGGAGGCAAATGATGGTTAGAACAGAACCGAGAATGGGTTAACGTGTATGATTAGGAATTGCGACGTACTAGAGACCAAGAGGAGTAGGTCCGGTAAACTGAGGAATGAGATCCGCAATTTCTCCTGTACTGATTGTGTTGGAGATGCTGGGAAGCGACAAGTAATCTTTTAGAATGGCTGGGTTTGGGATGGTATCAACATTGGATACAACGGAGATCATGAATCGGTCAGTTCCATTCCACTGGATAGAAGTAATAATCTCAGAGGCAGGATCGTCATCCATCTTCTCGGTAAAGTTGATGTAGGCGTCAAAGACAGATTCACTGTCTTTGGGGTCAAAGAAGACAAAACCTCCCCATAATGTATTGGAGTTTTCAACACCTACATGGCTGGTTAGCTAATGTGCAGAAGGATCAACTGATGAGAATGAACATACGTTCATCAACTCGGGTGATGAATCCGAAGTTACCCGAACCGCCCTTCAGGCTCTTGAAGAGGTCGGGATTCTCTTTGGTGTTGGCGTTCACGATTGAGCCATCAGCCAGGACGACCTCAAAGTTGGCGACAGCGTCACAGGCAAAGCCACGTTTTTGGCTATGGAAGGAGTACTACCGGGCGGTTAGACGGTTTTTGATGAGGGAATGTCATCGACTTACTCCGCCGCCTGTTGTGAAACCTCCCACACCCACGATCGAAGCACGGCCACCAACGGCGACCACGCCATAGGGGTTGAGGGCTTCATAAACATGCCCCCAGTCTGACCCAGGCTGGATCTTGGCAGTTCTGGTCTTGATATCATATGTTGTCTTGTTCATGTAGCCTGAAGAAGATATAAGGTTAAACGGGCTATGACCAATAAGGGCGATGATCAGACATACTGAAGTCAATCGTGATGCCGTCATCTACGCTATTTGCTCCCCTCCACGCTGAGTGGGAACCACTCCGCATCCCGAAGAGACATTGCTTCTCAGAGATGATCTTAGCGATAGTGGAGACATCTTCCGTGGAAGATGGCATGGCCATGCATGTCGGCGGGAGCGCGGAGTTGGCCGAGTAGTAGGTGGCTAGACGGGCATCGTATTGTTTGCTTTTGGCGTCGTAGATCTTGCCCTTGAGCTGGGGTTGTTTCGCGAGAGCTGCGCACTAGTCGAGCTGTCAGTGAGTAATAGGGGGAGAGGACAAGGCGAAGAATCTGTTACGGACGCAGCTAAGCGAGCTTTCAGCGGTGACCAAAGTGGCCAGGGCAGCGGTGGCCCCTAGAACAGTGACCTTCATGATGAGATTAACAACAGGGGACACCGTAATCACACGAAATAAAAGATTGCAAGGGATTTTATTACAACAAACTTCAATGAAGGCTTCATCAACGTCTTGGTGGCTGCGTACGTCTTCTTAACTAACGACCACCAAGTAGCAAAGCGGGCCAATTGAATCCTTCAATCCTGTCTGGGCTGAGCAATCCGGATGAAATCAACCAACACGGATATGGGGATTTATAAGATTAAGAGGGTCTTTCTGGAGTCGACCGACAGCTCTCCACATGTCCACTCTCCGATCCACGGCTCCCGCAAAGGCTATTCCGGGCCGCTTCAAGTATGGATTTGTATCGACAGACCTAGCGAAGGGTTCTCTAGACTATCGAATAAGCAGCCCATCACCCAAGAGCCAACCCGAGGAAGACCTTTTCCCCCATCACCACCTCATTTATTGAACACAACTTACTGGAATTCTGGTATGCAGAAAAATGACTCGCGGCTCCTGGACGCATGTATGTATGCGCATACCACTGCAGCACATGGCTGTTGAGCTAGATCTTGAATCGCAATCTTCACCGACGATCACTGCCCACCTTCCTCTGGGAGAGATATCCGCCGCCCCCGTCGAAGCTAGCGAACGTAGTGCTATTCCCAAAGACCCCGTGGCATCCGTGCTGGGTTGCTGGGTGTATTAGCCTGAAACTGCCCTTGTTTTCCAGTAGTCAGCGGAATAGGATCGCCACGTAATTTACCCCTTCTTATTCTTTCCGAGTTCTGGGGAAGCGAGCAGGTGCCAAGGGAAAAGAAGCGAAACTATTTTCAGTTAGAGAATCGCTGATCTATACCCAAGATGGCACCGCGTAATGACCTAGCTATCCTAGCATGAATCAACCTCAGCCACTGCAATCTTGGCGGGCGTTTTTGTTGAGCTAAATCGACCGGCCTTGATTATGCCAGGAGGAGGGAAAGCATCATCCTCGCGGAACTGACCTTGTTCTTGGACGTTAGAGGCCAGACTCGATGTCACTGGAGAAGCGGAATTTGTCCAGATTCGCATGATGTTCCGGGCTCTCTTCCCTGCAGTTTCTCCTCGAATCAGTATACTTGGCGGGTCTAGATTTATCGACCCCCCTACCTACGGTAGGGGGGGTTAATAACTAGTAATAATAGTAGTAACTTATAAATAAATAAGTAATCTAGTATACCTTCTAATTTAGTGGGTAATATAGGTATTATCTTTTTAATATATATCCCTAATAATTCTATAGCTTACCCTATTAATTAAAAATACTATATTTTAATCTCTTAATTTATATAATATATCTATAATATATTATAATATATTACTCTGTAATTATTAGTATAATAATAATTATTAAAATTCAGAAAAAATAGTATTAAATATAGAATTAAATAATAATAATATTATATAAAGATAGATTAATTCTACTATCTATAAGCTAGTTTTCTTATAGTTTACTCCTAAGAACCTTAAGGAATATATTATTATTATAGTATAGCTATTCTATACTTAATATTATAAGATAATTATAGCTATAAATAAGGTATTTAGTATATCCTATTATTATCTCTAGAGCTATATTTAAGATTATCTAAGTATATTCTTAAATAGAGGGTATAATATATATCTTAATAAAGCCTAGATAAAGACTGTAATTATATAGGCTTATTACTAGATCCTGATAGGCTTTTATATCTAATCTTACTAACTTTATTAATATATTAATACTATCCTATAAGCTTTAAAAAGTAAAGAGACTATTAATAAAAAATAGTATTAATACTTTATAAAGAGATATAGATATATATTTTATCTTTATAAAGCCCTATTATAAGATATAAAGTAAAAGAGTATTTAAAGAAGAGCTATTTTATTTAGTTAGTTTAACTACTTTAATTACTATTTATAATAAAATAATATTAAGTAGGAAAATATATAGAATTTTAATAAAACTAGCTTTATAATAGAATATTTTAAAGTAGGAATTTTTATTTAGATCTTTTTTAATATTAATTAGCTAATTCTAATAGATTTATTTAATAAAGTAATAATTATAAGTATTAATTATATCTCTATAACTATAAAAGTAATTCCTCTCTTTATTATAGCTTCCGGGGTTAATATTCCTATTAGATAGGTTTAAAATAATCTTTAAGAAGATATAGTTATTTATATAAGTTAAAAGGGATATATTATAGATATAATTACCTTTAAATAGATTTAATACTTTAACTAATATATAAGGCTAGATAACTCTAATAAAGTTAGGGTTTTATTAATAGATAATTAGGAATATTATTATATAGATAAGATTATTAAATATTATTATACTAATAATATTATTCTCTTTCCTTTACTATTAAATTTAATATATTATCTTTAGCTATTAGATATTAGTATTTTTAGCCTATTTAAGTATTAGTATTAGGAAGTATTATATTAAGTAATTACAGATAGTATCTATAATTTTAATAAAACTAATTTTTTTTTTTATCTTTAAAAAATATAAGATTATATATTTAAAAAGTTAACTATTTACTTAGTATAGATATAATCCGGGCTTTTTCTATTTAATCTCTTTATTATTCTAGATATACTCTAAGACCCCTTATTATTTCTAATCCTAAATATAAATATTATCTTCCTTCCGGGGTATATTAATATTAGGGATAAAGAAAATAATAAAGATAATAATAAAGATTATTTTTTTTTATCTAATAAGAGTTCTAGCTTTTTATTAGAATTAATTATAGTAAGTATTTATTAGTTAGTATAACTGATATAAGTAATAATACTATAGCTAAGTAGTATTATTATAATAGCTATAATACTATAAAAAATACTATATTCTGAGTAGAAAGAGATTATAATACTATCTCTTAATATTCCTATAATTAAGTAATATTATAAGTATATTTAGCTTTAAATAGAGGTCTTAATTAACTTAGGTTTTATACTAATACCTTTAGTATTATAGACCCTTATAAAAGCTTATAAGGTTAGTTAGGCTCTTAAGTTAAATAGTATTATAACTGCTAATAAGCTTTACTATTATAAAGAGAAGACCTTATTAAGATAGAAGCTTTAAGATAAGAGGTATATTATAGCTAAATTTAGCTTTATTACTATTAGTAATACTAGAAGTTATATAGTAATAGATAATTATAATTACTATATTATATAAGCTAATAAGGTTTAATATATTAAATAGAAAGCTATTTATAATAAAGAGGCTTTCCTATAGTAATAGCTTTATATTATTAGAGGCTTTATTCAGATAGGAATAATAAAGATATAGGTTTAATAATTAAAGGTCTTTAGCTCTGATAATATAGACTTCTTATTTAAGATCCTTATACTATAATAGTAGTTTCTAAAGTAAGATAAATATCTCTTTTTTAATTTATTAGAATTAATAACTTAAATATATACCCTATATTATAAATTATATAAGGAGTTTTAAAATCTATAATTATAGGAGTTATTAATATAGCTAATAGTTTACTACTAACCCTATATTATTATTATAATTAAACTAATTATTATAAAGAAAGATAATTAGAAAATAAAGAAAATAATACTATTATAGGAAATAGATAGAATAAGTATATTTAGTATAGAAGAAAGTAAATATAAAGCTTTAGTATTAGATAAGATATATATTAAAATATAATATAAGGAGTTATAATATAGTAGTATTAGTATTATAGTAGGTAGGCTGTATTATATAGTATAGCGAACTGGATTATAGTAAAAGAGGGATATTTATTTAAATATTAGTATCTATATTACCTTCTAATTTAGTAGGTATACTAAGTTACTTTCTTATTTTACGAGTTACTACTATTATTACTAGTTATTAACCCCCCCTACCGTAGGTAGGGGGGTCGATAAATCTAGACCCGCCAAGTAGCAGAACACCGAGTGATCGGGTAGCAAGATGTGAATGCAGGCAACCAAGTACATGGTTAGCGTATCGTAATAGTGCATCCCCAGCGGGGAAACGATATTCACGCAGGACACCATTTCATGCTTTATGCCTAGCTGCCGGCTACAAACGAATGAAAAGAGCTGAAAATACATCCATCGGCCTTTGATCGACACACTTTACTCGAAAACCAGGCTTCGGCCGGACGGGGGATCAACGAGGTGGGGAGCTGATGAGAAAGGGGAGCCAGTCACGGGGCGACCCTGCATTCTATGAGCGATGTGACAATTCGACCTAACGGGGATGGCGAAGTCAATTTCTTCCCCTGGTTACGGAGAGTACATCACCGGCTGTCGCGTGAACCGCTTCTGCTGTCGCAAGCTGCCAAGGATCGACCGGATAGATAATGACCCAACCCAAGCACCACCCTTTGCAAATCATCTAATGTTTACTTGTTCTCTTTCGCTCTCGTTCCCGCTAGCCTGGCCTCCCCCATGATGTCGCCATGGCCATTGAATTTCCAACTTACAATGGCGTCGAGGTCGCGTCCTTACCGCCTCCCGGATATGAGGTCGATTTCGACAACCGCAAGCAGCAAAAATGGCTGGAGCACATTCTGATTTTCTGCTTTATGGCCCCGATAGCCCTAATGGCGCTGCTCCAGCGATTTTATACGAAGATATTTCTCTCCAAAGGTTTACAAATTGACGACTGTAAGGACTATTTTTTCAACCCCAAGAGTGGAAGGACCTAACAGATCTCACAGTTTTTATGTTATTGGGCTGGGTAAGCCTTGTTCATTATTTATGTTTCTCGCCCTCAGACGGCGATCAACTTGGTGGATCCTTTACTTACTGGAGTATCAGTTGACAGCAATCCTAACCCAAGTCCTGATGTTAAGTATGCTACTGTTTCCAGCCACCCATAACCAACGAAGCAGGATCTAATATCGCTATTGATTCAGCCTCGATATCCAAACGATTATTCTGCTCCCATTCGTTCGAGATGCCGTTGGCTGATTACGAAAGCTACGCCTTGGTAACACCTCCCCGCTTCCACGACCACCGAACGACACGACGCTTACATGGGAGATTATAGTACAGTTATGTGACGGCACCGATTTATATGATGTGTAATGGTTTCACGAAATTATCTCTTCTGCTGTTCTATCTGCAGATATCGCCACAGACATGGTTCCGCCGTGCTGTCTGGGTGAGCATCGCCGTCGTGAGCCTATCGTCGCTCATCATAGTGTGCTTCATGTACTTCGGGTGCAGCCCGCCGCAAAAAGCGTTTCGACTCAAAACAGAAGGACATTGCGTCAACGCGGGCATCTTTTATATAGCCACTGCCGTTTCCAATATCGTCACCGACGTCATTCTATTCGTCCTCCCTATTCCGATGGTCTACGCCTTGCGCATGCCCCGCATTCAGAAATTCGGAGCTATGATGGTCTTTGGTATCGGATCAATGTAGGTTTGGTTGAGCTGACAGGGCGTCTTGGAACAATGTCTAACAGGATCACAGAACGATTGGCACATCTGTAGTGCGTCTGGCCCTTCTCCCCGTCGTCCTTAAAAGCCCGGATCCGTCATGGGATGGTTGTCCCGCCGATGTATGGACGTATGCCTTGACCAACAGACCTTACTTCTTGTCCGTATTTACGTTGGCTAAATGTTTTGCTAGATTCGTGGAGGCCAATCTCTTCATTATCTGTGGCTCGATGCCAACCCTCCGAAAGTTCTTCAAGCACTTGATGCCCCGCCTAATGGGCTCATCAGGCCAGTCCTCGGGTTATAGAAACCCAGCCAGCCCCGGCCCTTCAAATACGTTGCAGAGCGGCGGAAACGTGATCAGTCGCCTTCGACATAAGCGCAAGTCGTACGCACAGTTCGCTTCAGACGGGGAGGAGAACGAGCTGCAGGACTTCCGCGGCGGGGACACGACGAAGAAACAGAGGAGTGTAACCGTTACAACGGCGGATCAATCGCAGGTCCCAGGGGATAATCATAGCGATGAGGGGGCAATCCTACAGACAAAAAGTTTTACATTACAGTATAATTAGATGAACGAGCGGCGAATAGAACACTTGACAAGACCCAAACAACTGTCCAGTCCTCACTCAGTCACCATAACGATCCTAAGGCTGGAGCTTAGATTGGTGATGGAGAGGATCGGAACGAGCAATTGCGTGATGGACGAGTGTCATCACCGGATCGAGATGGCGTGAGGGGAATGATTATTTATACTTTCAAGTCGGCGACCGATCAGCCCCGCTCCGGCTAATAATAAAACAGAGATGCGTCACTTTTGTGCTTCGCTTCATCACTTTCATTCACCGAGCGCCGTTCCCAAAACACCGATCGGATTGATCCCCGTCCAACTACGCCATGACCTCTACCGATACTACCAAGCCGTGGCATTCGGGGCCAGCGGATGGTTGGCACGGTGTCATTGCACCCGGCTCTCGCTTCCCACCCGCGGCTGACCGATACCATTTGTATATCGGCCTCTTCTGCCCCTTTGCGCACCGAGTGAACCTGGTCCGTCTGCTCAAAGGGCTGGGAGAGATTTTACCCCTCTCCGTCGTCAAGCCATACCCCAAGGGTGATGATAATGGATGGCCCGGCTGGGAGTTTCCCGGTTGTCGTGGGTCAAGCGACACTTATCCCGGTGCAATTGAAGATCCTCTGTTCGGCTCCAGGTACATGCACGATGTGTACTTCCGCGCCGACAAAGGCTATACGGGTCGCTACTCCGTCCCAGTCATCTGGGACAAGGTCGAGAACACCATTGTGAACAATGAGAGTCTGGAGACCCTTCGGTGGCTGCAGACTGCGTTCAATGACATACTTCCCCAGGGGAGCCCACAGCAGCTCCTCAACCTGTACCCTGACCACCTCAAACCCAAGATCGATGAAGCTACGGCTTGGATCACGAGAGATTTCAACTCTGGCGTGTACAAAGCGGGCTTCGCAACCGACCAGGAGACGTACAGCAAGAATGTCCCCATTGTGTTTGCGGCGCTCAACCAGCTGGAGCTCTTGATTCAATCAAATGGAGGGCCGTATATTCTCGGAAAGGATCTAACGGAGCTCGATGTTCTGGTGTATGCAACGGCTATTCGATTCGACAGTATTTACGTGCAGCATTTCAAGTGCAACCTTGGAACAATCCGGGCTGATTATCCCGTGGTCAACGAATGGCTGAAGAATCTGTACCACAACGTGCCTGGTTTCAAGGAGAGTACCGATTTCAAGCACATCAAGGAGAATGTAAGTGCTTGCCCTCCGTTCAAGACGGCCTGATGCTTACCTGATCATAGTATACAAAGAGCCACGCCAAGATCAATCCCTTGGCCATCACACCACTTGGCCCGTACCCGGATATCCAACGCTTGCCTGTGAATTTAGATTTCAAGGGTATCAAAGCCGGTTCAATCGATCACCCCCTTGTACTCGCGCACCAGAAAACTTTACCGGGTATTTAAATGCCTTTCCATGCGGCAACTAGCTTGATCTTCACCCGATAGCTATCACCGAGCCATAATGATTAAGGTGTCTCCTGATTACATTCATAAGTTGGGGTGGCGGGATTCTGTCTCAGGAGCGCAAGGGCAAGATTTGGAGTGACTGGAATGAATGAAAAGGAGATTGGCGGGATTTCTTACCGTCAATAACGTCCAGAGAAATCTTTGAATTGACTTCTAATTGTACAGGAATTATATTTTCTCAGAAAAGAAAGCCTGTGGTGTGACATGATGGTGGAATATCTTGTGGTATACTCAAAATGCCAGTATCATCTCAATCAATTTTAGAGGAGAGCAGGAAAATTCCTAGGCATGCAGGTAGGCCACTATGCGTCATTATTCTGAGACAGAGCCATTGGCAAATGATGCAATTGAGTTTTTCCCATCATAAATCCCCAATCGTTCCTTTACTGGCAGAAGATAGGCCGTGTCTTCTGATGGTCGCCAAACGAAAGACATCCACCGACCATGTACCCAACTGACAGGAGTATTTCTGAGGAAGATGGAGATTCATCCCCATTCCTTCACTCAGAGGGCTCTAGTAAATATCCGGTGAGGATAAATGATTGCAAACAAGGTTTCGACCCTACCAGCGACTCGGCAAATCCGCAAGAATGGCCGTTGTCTTACAAGCGAGGCATTGTGGCCTTGCTAGCCGGATCCGCGTTTACAGTGTACGAGCTACCAATTTACCAATTTCTTACATCTTTGGACCATGGATTGGCTAACACTTGGTCACAGAACGTTCAATAGCATGTCGGTCATTCCAATAGCAACCCAAATCGCCGAAGAGGTTGGAAACGCGGATGGTTCGAAAATGGTTTCAGCTCTCCCCGTCACAATATGGGAGTTGGGCGAAGCGACTGGGTGTCTTCTCATCGCGCCGCTCTCGGAAATATTTGGTCGTTACCGCGTGATTAATACTTGCAACATTCTTTTCATATTCGCCACGATTATTGGTGCTGTATCAACATCTATGCTGCAGTTCATTGTCTCGCGGGCACTTGCTGGCATGGTGGTAACTTCAAATGTTCTCAATCCAGCCATCATTGGAGATATATTTCCCCCAGAGCATCGAGGTACTGCGTTGAGCATTGTCCAGTTCGCACCAGTTCTTGGTGGTACAATTGGCGCTGCTGCCAGTGGTGCCATCTCGGAACTGTTAGGTTGGCGTTCTGTGCTTGGGACTAGCATTCTAATGGCAAGCCTTTGCCAGTTGGGTTTCTTGGTCTATTATAGGGAGTCCTACAAACCAGCGATACTAAGAAAGAGAGCGGTCGCACTGCATGAAAAAATGGACGATATATCAAGCGTCGACAACTTGGGGGAATCATTGTTCCTTGGACAAGCATCGACCGGTATTTTATTATCTTTACTACGGCCCGCTTTGATCATTTTCGATTCGGGCGTTCTTGCTGCTTTGTCAGTCTTTGGCTGTGTTTTGTTTGCACACTATTGTGTCCAAAACGTGACGCTCCCCCTAATCCTGGAAGACACTTATGGCATGTCTCCGGCTGAAGCTGGAAAAGCCTTTCTAGCAAATGGTAAGACCTTTCAGCAAACTGCCGATCATTGATGCTAACAAAACTTTCGTGATAGGCGCGGGATCGATAATCGGTATTGTCATATGCAAATTTACTATCGATAGAATATATCTCGGACTTCGAGCAGCGAACAAGGGGATTGGGCGACCTGAATACCGTCTCCCCATGGCTATAATTGCAGCCTTGATGATGCCGCTTGCTCTCGCGCTGTATGGCCTTTGCGCTGAATATAGGCTCCCGCTAGGCGTCTTGCTCGTGTCCGTCGCCTGGACCCGTATGTGTATCGTACTGGGCCTCGTGCCGGTCATGGCATACGCGGTGGATGCCTGTAGTCTTTACTCAGCTTCTGCGGCGACAGGAATTGTTGTCCTCCGATGTATTGCTGGTGCATCCCTACCACTCCTTACGGTGCAGATGGTAGAGTGTGTTGGCTATGGCTCAAGCTACATTCTGTTAAGTGCTATCAGCCTGGGACTTGGGTTGATTCCTATCTTGGTCATGCGTTTTGGGCCACATTGGAGACAACGTTCAGGATATACATCGTGATATTTTCATACACTGACTAAAGGAAACGGAAGAACCTCTGCCCTTTGGGTGCTTGAAACCGGTTTTTCTCGATCTTCTTGCGAGAAGTCTGATACAACAACCATATAACTGAGTTTATTGCGACCCCATATTTTTGAATCATGTTTCGAGGACTGTGATAATTTAAATCAAGAATATTTCATTTGACTTTATTACGTGCCATCCTGCTGCTGAGTATAGGGTACTTGATTTATGACATTGTTTTTTTGCTCTGCCACTCGCTTGGAGATTCCTCCTGTGAGCCGAGTGCTTAAGCCTGTTGCTTCGTTTATCCTATCAGCGAAATTGAATGTGACCACGCCATAAGGGGTATCATGTGGGAGTTTTCGGGCTCGAGGCTGCTCTGTTTGGTTGATTGTAGAGGTCATCCTGTCTATACATCCTGCTTGCCCTTCCGCAGCGTGTTTCATTACTGGACAAGATATGGACAGGGGTGCAAGAAAAGCGGCTTTTAATTGGTCACAAAAGGAAACTCATGCCACCAGGCATCCATCTGATGGAAGCCTATCACTGCCTAAACATTGATGTGTAGCCTGAAGCTTCAACACAGATAAAATCAGTCGCTGGTGCCCCGTCGCTACATCCTGATATGCCTCACATCTAGACATAGAGAAGGCCAACATGGTCCTGACAAGGAGCCAGTGGCGTGCCTCTGCGTCCAGACTGTCCCCTGAGTTGCTTCGCATGATATTCGTGTGGTTGTGTCCACACTGTCGCGGCAATTTTGACTGGCAAAATTGGGCTGATGATGGCAATGACGAACAACACAAACAGGATATTCGCTCACTTGTTGACCTCTGTCTAGTCTCGGTAGCATTTCGCGATGTGGCTCAAGAGGTATTGTACCATAGCTTCAATACTCATTATCCCACCATGGGCGGATCGAGGCTGCGGCTCGAGCTGTTTTTGCGCTCCATTGCAGCACGCCCTGATCTCGCTCGTTCAGTCAAAGCAGTCGCTCTAGATCCATTTTTCACTACAACTCTGGATTTCTTTGCGAGTCGGGATGCCTTTGAAGATTGCGCGCATGCGCTTGGCACCAGCGCCCTTGACATCTGGAGGCAGACAGAGCATGCCTATCGGGCCAACCCACAAACCCAGCATCAGGGCTATGAGGCATTCTTCGTAAGAGATGCTGACCCTGGTAACTGGGCTCAGCGCTCGTCTATCCCCTTTCTCGCCAGCCAGCTCCTTACAATGCTAGTTGCCTTGTCGCCCAACCTGAGCTACCTCAAGGTAATCAGTGGCATGGATCAACTTGACCTATCTCGAGCAACCTCGAATGCAATTGGTCTCACCAGGCTACCTCTCAAGACTCTTGATTCAACGCTTCGCTTTGAATCTCTCTTAGAACTGTCGCCAGATATAGGGGCTCTAGTATGCCGATATGCGCTTCCCCGGGGCAGCTTTCCTAACGTCCAATCGCTCGTCGCCATCGTCCGCCACGACCCCTCTCAAGGCCCTCTCGCCGTCACGAATCTTCTGTCTGCATGTACTGGCCATGTCTCTAATTTTTCGTATAGAGCAGCCAATCCGACGCTCACAGCCGTGGGGATTGTCCGCTTCCTCAGCACTGAAAAGCTACACGCCACTCTTGAGTCAATCCATATCGACTGCCGATGGCATAATTTCACCGCTCAGAATCGTGTCATGCCGAACTTCAGACCGTTTCTAAATCTACGGGCTCTCTTGCTCAGCATCTGCCTCGTGCATGCGGATATAGACTCCGATAGCCAAACCCTTGCGAGCATGCTCCCTGCCAGTATTACGTCCCTGACGCTCGTGGGTAATGGCGTGGCAACATCATACTCTTTCCTTCAAGACAAATACGTCCGTCGCCTCCGAGGCCAACTCATGGGTCTCGCTGAAGCAAAAGCAGAAGGCTCGGGTTTCGAGCACCTGACTCTAGTAAGATGCGATTCCTCCCTCGTGTGCAGCCGATATGTGAGGGGCAGGTTCAAGCGGGTTGGTGTTGATCTCGTGTATCAAGAGTTCCCGAGGCCGGACTTTGATTTTCAGGACGTGTATCCTCAGTACATGCCAATACCAGACGGTCTGGACCAGCCACTACCGGGGTCAGATGATGATGATCTATAGGGCTCAAGTAAGGAAGGAAGGGATAGAGTAGTGAATTGTAGATAGAATAATAGATAGCACAATATAAAGGAACAGAATCTCCTTGGCCTCCTCGACCGACCGTGAGTTGAATGCTTGAATGAACGTGGCTGGGTATTTGGAATTTGTCTAAGATTGGATCGATTGCACACTTTAATAGGACATGTTCAATTATACGTCCATATTGATTTCAATACATAGCTCGGCTTAAGAATAATTTTTGCATAAAACAGGTAGAATACAAACAAGCAACCAAAAAATATCGAGACAGTTCCCTTTCAAACAAATAGCGGACACTTCAAGCTGTACAACAGTGAAGAGAACCTGTTCGCAGGCTTTTTATTCCTCTCGCCAATGACTGAGCCCAATACTCGTCAGTCTAATTTTTTCTCGCTATCCTACAGCACAACTTTCCTACCTGGACCAGCCTTTTGGCCCAGCCCAAGTTCCTTTAACCATAGAGGCATAGTATACCCAAGGGAAGAACTCCTTCTTCATGTGATAGAAGGCTCTCCGGGGTACAGCCTGATTAATACCAAACCATTTCCCAAAGGTCTCATCCGGAACTCCGCCATATTTGAATTCGGTCAACAGAACCTTCCCGTATTGCGTGACCAATGGGCAGGATGTATACCCATCGTACTTGGCATCAAGGTCTTTGCCTTCTATAGATTTGAGAAGGTTTCGGACCAGGATAGGGGCCTGGGCGGTGATAGCAGCCGCTGTTTTAGATGTAGGGAGGCCCGAAGCATCGCCGATCGACCAGACGTTAGGGAATTTGACGTGGCGGGTCGTCTCTGAGTCAACATCGACATATCCCGCCTCGTTGGCGATGGAACTATTCTTCACGAAATCATGTGCGCACATTTTGGGAGCTGCGTGCAGCAGATCAAAGGGCTTGGTGACTTTCCCGCCAGGGGTATCGAAGACCGCCTTGTCACCGTTGATCTCGACAAGATCATGCTGAAAGAGGCCCTCGACTCCCCGTTCCTTTCGGAGCTCGTCTAGCTTGGCGCTGTACTTGGGGACACCAAACATGACGGGAAGACCAGTAGCAAAACTGATCTTGACGGGCGAGGATAAGTCTCCTGCGCGATAGAGCCCAGACCCCTTCCAGTGATCCAACGCCATCCACATGAGCTTTTGAGGCGCGCCGGCGCATTTGATGACGCCGGCAGGTTGCGTGAAGATGGCATTTCCCTTGCGCAGCTTCTGGATAGTCTTGAAAACCTTGTCGCAGGTTTCATAGCCGTAGATGGTGGACACCATGCTGCTTGGGTCGGCAAGGGCTTCTGGCATTCCCTTGATCTTGCCATAGTCCATGTTGATGCCTGGGACAACAACGAGCTGATCGTACTCAAGTCTGTCGCCATTCCCTAACAGAATGGAGTTCTCCTCCGCTTGGATGGAGGACACACTTTGCGGGTAGAACTTGAGGTGCGAATGCATCAGGTCCTTCTGGCGCCTGCGGAGGTCGGTCTTCTTCTTGACACCGCCGCCGACCAGGGTCCAGCCGGCCTGGTAGTGATGCCATTCCGCGGGATCAACGACGGCAATGTCGTTGGGTGCGAATTTCCCGGACCGTCTCAGCTTTTGACTGACGGTCAGACCGGCAGAACCGCCACCAATGACGATGACCTTGTGGCTCCGCGACGCAGTTCCAACAGGGGAAACTGTTGCGAATGTGCGGGTGGCTGAGCTCGCACAAGTGGCTACACGAGCAGCGGGTTTGATGGACTGGCAGAGCATTGTGAATGGAACTGAAGGGTTGAGAGAAAGACGAAGATAAGTGAATGAAGGATGAGAGCTAAAGAAACCCAGACGGCTATAAATGGGCGAGAATAAAAGGACTCTGAACCCCTGGAGAGATTAAGTGAGAGATTTGAAGGACGGAGCCACGGACGGTTCGGCAAGGCGGCTGCGGGACGGGCATTATTGCATAGCATGAAAAGCTCAGGAGTTGTGTTGTCCTGCATTCGCCGAATTGCGGACGCACAGACAAGTAAGAAATATCGATTAGAGTGTTGAGTGAGACTGTCTGTCAATGCGCCGAGTACCGCGGAGGTCGGGAGACCGCTTCATCACTGAGCGCATTGTGACAGGGAGAAATCTGAGATGTGAGCAAGTTATTACATCAGAAGTCAGACCAGGGAGGGAGATAACTGCTACAATAGATAACCTTTGGGGAGACAAGGGCGGGACTGGCCAGCTCAACGGCTCGGAACACATGGGAACTATTTTAGACTCTGCCGCCGACCGGATTGGACAAGGATAAGAAGGACGGGGTAGTAGACAGTCAAGACAAGGTTTTGCCATTGCCAAGAGGTTAAATTCCCACCATCCGGCCGTGGGTTTCTGGCAGCCCCGGCCATCGGCATCGGTGTTGATGGGTACAGCCCCGGGCGGAAACAAGGAAGAGGAGGGGCCAGGAGAGTTTTCTTCCAAGTAAATTCGGACCCATGAGATCGATGCATGAAGCATTATATGTCATCAGGTCAAGGCTGATAGGGCCGGTGGGAGGCACTCGGTGGCTCCAACAGACCGACGCTCGGAGCCGGTCGCCGACTGATCGCCGACTGACAGTCCGGAGTGTTCGGCGACCATTATCAATATTTCTTCGATAGACACTCGCTCTATATGGCTCTAATTTGCCTCTACCTCTCCATTCAAACCAAAAATTACAATCCAAGAAATTCAACCAGATATCCAAACTGCTGACCACAATGTATGCACTTCGTCCTCAACTACGGAGAGGGAGTACCTGTCTCCTGCAAGCATCTTCAAGAAGAGGTCTACAGGCCCGAGAAACGTTGACATGTCTTCAAATCAGGTCGCAGGCGACAGCTGCAAGCCCTAGTAGCGGGCAACGTCCGACTCGCGATAACGGATTGGCTGCGCCGAGCCCAAGCCAGCTCCATTCGCAGCATGCAACAGCCAGCGTAGCTACCAAAGCATCCTACTCTACCATAGCCCCAACTATCAGCGAGCCCATCATCCACGACATCTTTGAAGATGTGACCTGCACGTGGCAGTATGTGGTAGCAGATCCGGTCACAATGACAGCGGCAATAGTCGACCCTGTCCTGGACTTTGACCCCATTTCTCGGGCCATCACCACCGCCTCGGCCGACAAATTACTATCTCTTGTGAAGGAGAAGGGCTACAAGGTGTCAAGAATCTTGGAGACCCATGCCCACGCTGACCACCTTACTGCGGCGTCATATCTTCAGAAACGGCTGGGCGAGGAGCAAGGTGGCTTTCAGCCTTCCATTGGCATCGGGAAGCGCATCGGAGGGGTCCAGAAATTCTTCGGTACTCGCTATGGAGTTCCTGGGGAGGAGTATAGTGTCGTTTTTGACAAACTCTTCGAGGATGAGGAGACCTTCAAGATCGGGTCTCTCGAAGCATTCGTGATGCACTTGCCTGGCCACACGCCTGATCATATTGGCTATAGAATTGGAGGTATGGTTCATTCTTCTCATCTTGAAGCATTCATCATCATCTTTTTAGTTGGGAATGTAAACTGACCGGCTCCTCGCAGATAATGTTTTTTGCGGTGACTCCATCTTCCATACAGATATTGGAACTGCCCGTTGCGATTTCCCAGGTGGTAGTGCAAGCACCTTGTTTCAGTCCACACACAAGCTACTCGAGTTACCAGATACTGTCAAGATCTGGGTAGGGCACGATTATCCTCCAGAGGGTCGCGATGGTCCCGTGGCATGGGCCAGTGTCAAGGATCATAAGGCTCAAAACAAACATATCAAAACTGGTGTCACAGAAGAGGAGTTCGTTGCCCTTCGTAATAAAAGAGACGCAGGTCTCGGAGAGCCAAGGCTTCTCCACCAGTCTCTGCAGGTCAATATCAGAGGAGGGCGGTTGCCTTTACCGAACGATAAGGGAGAAAGAATGCTCCATACGCCTTTGAATACGAGAGGTGCGGAATGGTAAAGAGAGAATTACTCCCAAGTGCCAAGTGCCAGAAAACAGGACTACTTTGTATCATTATATTTGTCTGTTTCGCAATAGCAAGTTATGTCTATCTCCTTTCAGCTCGATTGATGTCTTCAATTTGTGGCAGATCAGATCACCTGTTCTTTACTTCTCAAAAGATACCCATCAATGTGAATGAGTGATCGTATCTGGCCTGCGACATTACGGCTGAAATCATGCAGAGTAAAGGACGAATCTAATTGGCGATAAGACCTGCAGGGCACAGTCAGAGCCAGCTGCCATTCCGAGCAAGGAGGCGGCCACACTCAACGCTGAATCAGCTTATTTGGGCAATTTGTATCCTTCAGCTGGGCTCTCCCACAATTGTGTCCACTCTTAGGAGCCGTGCTCGCGGAGATCACCTTCTTTCGGCAAGATGCCTTTTTATGGTTTCTGCTACGTCCTCACCTCGGCATTTGGTGTATAGCTCATTTCATAGGTTGTCCCTTGATATTTGTACTTTAGTGCGGAAAAGCGGCAGCCAGATGATGTAGCTTCAGAGACTTCACGTCAATAGTCGACCTTTACTTTTCCTCCTTTGCTCTACCTCTACTTCTCGCCGGGCAAAAGTGCATTATAGAGGACTGCCTAACTTGGGTTTAAGAGTTGAGGCTCATCCACATTGCAGCTCATTTGTGACGTAGGATCATCCCCAAGGCCAATATAAAACCTGCCCATCATCCTCATATCTCTCTTCATTTCAGCATCCTCATCAATCAATTCCATAAGAAAAGCCACAGACAAAATCCCACTTTCTTCTTTCACGATGCGCCTTATAACCCTCCTTTCGTTCTTCCAGCTGGCATGCGCCACTGTGCTCGTCAAATATGATGCGGCCGCAGGAGATGATCCGAAGGTCCTTGGTCTTCTCAATCTTGAGGGATGGGAGCGTGCTGATTGGCCATCCGGCAAAGGCATGAACAGCTCTGTGTACTTCGAAACGAAGAAGGACCCGGCCGGTGTGGCAGCTGCCCATGTTCACAAAGATGCTCACTTCACACGCGCCGAGTACCACGCGTTGAAGGGTAAGACGACCAAGAACGCGGTGTACTACATTGGCTATAAGGTTCGTTTTGATGCCATCGAAGCCGGGACCATTGTTTTCCAGTGGTAAGTCACAAGCCACTGTCAAAGTTTACTAAACAAGTCGCCGGGTGGCTGAAGAAGCTGCTAACGAGTGAGTTTTTTTACTTCAGGAAGAACTATGACGGCCAGACAGTACCAACTGATAATATTCCCGCTGCACTTGTCTTCAGAAAAGATCCCGACGGCAACGAGGCCCACACAATGTAATGTCATGACTCCTTCTGTGCCCCTCAACTCAAATTGACTTACTTATGAGATGTTCTGCAACAGTCACTTCGGTGTACAGCCCGACCCTGCCAAGAAAGGTGCTGACACGATCTGGACCAAAACCTTGACCATGGGCAAAACCTACCGATTTGGGATTGTCGTCGATACCCATGAGAAAGGCTTCATCCAACTGTACTTCAACGGTGTTTTGGCCACGTTTATCCACCCAACTACAGGAGAGCACGTCCAGAAGCTGCCCGGCAATTACTGGCCTGGCCCCGTCGAGAGTTCTGACCCCAAGGTTGGTCTCTACGGCGCAAACACCAACAATGCCTGCGACTCGTATATCTACAATGTCGTCATTGGTACAGCGCTGTCAGATATTGCCGCCGTTGCCGGGATTTCCATTTAGTTAGATTGGGAAGTAATCCAGTCACCAGCCAGGCTCCAAGAAGGTGGTAACTGTGGGGGAATAGTCCTAGTTAAGTAAACTCGGGTTAAGACCTTCATGAGTGACAGGAGATTGGTTGGATAGCCATGAAGAGAGGTGTGTAGCTACTTACTTGCCACATGATGAGATTTAGGTTCTAGCTCAATAGATGTAACAAGAAAAATGCTACTGAAGACACTCTCAAATGTAATGCATTCGAGACTAAGGTGGGATGACATCCTATCCGCATTTCATAACATTAGCACATAGTTAGGACCCTCCAAGTTCATTTTGTAACGAGAATTTTTTCCTGATTTGTTAGCAACTGTTAGTTGTTGCCATCGCTCAAAGACGTTTCATTATGACTTGGCTTCCATCAGTGTGAGCTACCCTGGAGTGGCGGCTGCAAGACACTTTTCATGCTGGAAAGTGCGCCTCTATAAGAATAAAGATATTAAACACCTAAGTATATATATGCCAGCATAGTCTTAATTTAGTATTCTAATAATTGGATGGATTGTCAGTCAAAATATGCTTGATTTCACATTTTGTTAGAAGTATAAACTGCAGACAGTCAGTGTCTTATCGGGAGCTGACTGAGACACTCAAGCTATCAGATGAAACAAAAAGCAAGCTAAGATTTGTTGAGAAGTTAGTAAATACACCATCAATCATGTAAATTCCAATATTCATTCTGTTTTCTTGTTTCATACGTTCTTTTCCAACTCAAAACTGCCATACTTATTCAGTCCTACGCCACTGATGGAGGTCGCTGCGGGCAAAAAGTGCATCTACGAATCGCACATATCATTATTCACTAAAGACAATGCATGCTGTCCGATACATTTCAGTCGTGGCAAGCTACTAAGCCATTCCTTGTCTCACTTCGCTCTATGGAGCTGTCCAGAAATCATCTTACCAACACGTCAATGCGAGAGCCACCAATGCGAGACTACCCGATGATCAATGTATTTTCTGCAAAGAGCATCTTTCAGCCCCGCCAATCGTCTGCGGGTTTTGAGCACAAGGGATCTAGGAATTCCCGTGGCTCCACTGTGGGCGGTCCAAGAGTGGAACAGCATCGTTGGTGTGGTGTCTTGCTGTATCACGAGTGCAATTTCTACCGAGTCATGTAGATTTGTTGGTCTGATAGCGAGAGTAGGATGATACCTTGGCTGGACTACCCGCTCTTCTGCATAAAAAGTCTTTCTGCTTACCACCTACGACCTCTCCGTATTGTGATCTTCGCCTGTGGCCGCGGCTAGTCTCGAGTCATGGAGACATTGGGATCAATAATGATCCTCTTATTGCTGACTGAGTAAAGAACGAACTGCTACGTGGCACCCAGATCGCATCTTATTAGCCACATGCTTGACTAGTCAAGTAGTGCCCTTGGAATGGGCGGCAACACTGTCTCAGACTTGGTTGATCCTCTCCACTCAGTCAACAAAAGTCGATTCTTGGTCCGCAAAAGGTCTGCATAGGCATCACTAGCTGCCACAGCAGCATTGGATGGGACAGTAGCATCCAATTGTTGGGCTCGAACTTGAGGGCTATGCAAAGCAACCCACTGATCGGAAATAGTAGCGCAGCATTGCTCAGCTGGGCTGCAGTGGTACAGTTGTGGTGAGTGAGACTGCATGGTCAACCCTTGCAGACGGAAAAATAACCCGCCCGCAGCGGCTGACCCGTGGGAATCTCATCTCATGCAAGATCGAAGATTATCTCGCCACGGCCCCTGCTTCTTTTCGTTCAACGTGCCAACACCACTGGTGGGTCTGAGAACAGCTCTGAGCATCGACAGTATAAGCCGTCTGGGTTCATGGTGAGATATTTGTCACGCGTACGTAGATCACAACAGCGGTTACCAAGCATGTCGACGGCGTCAGCCTTATCTTTCGGTCCTGCGGCTCTCAGGTGTAGGACCGCATTATTTGTTTAGCGTGAGATCGTAGAACATGTTTTCCCCCAACGAGGATAGCTCTATCCACCGTCGCCATGCATCATCTCAGAAGTCTTGAACTAAAAAGGAACGAAACGTAATTGTTGCTAAGCCTCTCCTCATTGGCCATGGAGCTGCTCTTGAGGGGGCTTCTCCTAAGAAGTTTGTTCATGTAATGAGACATTGGCCTCGAGGAATTGATTCAACGTCTTGTCATTTACGCCCCCATTCCCACGAGAGAGCGGCACAGAAGCAGGGCAATTCTTAATAGCCTCTTAATCCAGCACATCTCATCCGGCAACAATCATGTCCTCCAAGAATGAATACGATTTCATCATTGTTGGTGCTGGCCCGGCTGGTTGCAGTCTCGCACGTGGGCTTGCCAACAGCCTGAGCCGGCCATCCGTTTGCTTAGTCGAGGCTGGCGGTATCAACAATGACGCTAGCAACCGCGTGATTGGAAACCTCTTTGTACAGAAGATGAACCCGGAACAGGCCAAGTTGTATGAAAGCAAGCCCCAGAAGGCTCTCTCCGGTCGCAAAATCGATCTAACCCGTGGCGCCGGCCTCGGTGGCTCATCAGCAGTCAACTTCACAGCCTGGACCGTTCCGCCTCGTGACGACTTTGAGGCCATCGCGAATGTCACTGGAGATCCCTCCTGGCGGTGGGAGAATGCTAAAAGACGTTACAAGGCGCTCGAGACATATCATGATAAGCATCCGGAGGTCCCAGCTGGAACAGAGATATTTGAACCCCAAAGCTGCCGACCATGGCTATGCAGGTCCTCTCCATATCGGGTTTGATGATAGATGGGATATCTATGCCACTGAGATGATGGAAAATTGGTCAGATAACGGATGCCCAATCAACCCTGATCTGGGCAATGGCGATTTCCTCGGGATTTCTATTTGCCCAAAGACTGTACATCGTGGCACTCGTGTCACGGCCGACAACCTCCTTTACCCGCTCCCCTCTAACCTCCACATAAAGACGGCGTCTCATGTGCGCCTGGTTATATTGGAAGGAAAGCGGGCGGCCGGCATTTCCCTGCTCGATGGCACGGTGCTGAGTGCGCGCAAAGAAGTGATTCTCTCCGCTGGTGCCCTCGACACACCCAAGATCCTAATGCACTCTGGAATTGGGCCGGCCGAACAGCTCAGCAAGTTTGGCATTCAGACCATTGTTGATAATAAATTCGTGGGTCAGAACACCAAGGACCACTACCATGTAGCCTTGAAGTACGGCCGGTCCGAGGAATCAAACAAGGTCGCAGCCTTCTTCCGCGATAAAGCCCGCCAGGAAGCAGCCCTCCGCGAGTGGAACCTCTACCGAACCGGCGACTTCACTAACCTGGGAACGTCCATGAACATGGGATTCTTCAAGAGCGATGCTGTCCTCAAGAGTCAAGAGTTCGAGAGTCTGCCTAAAGAGGAACAGGCCCGTCTTGAAATGCCCACTGTTCCCACGTACGAGATTGCTGTTCTGGGTATTGCTCCTGAATACTATCTAGCTCCCGAAACGAGCCCTCCTCTGCTGTCTGTTCTCGTCTTTGTTCATAACTCTCAGTATAATGGTAGCATGAGGCTTGTTTCAGATGACCCTACCGTGCCATTGGACTTTGACGTCGGTTTCATGGCTCATCCTTACGACCGACGTGTGGCTATCGAAGCAACCAAGGAAGTCATGAAAGTCACTGGCAGCACCGCCTTCAGAAAGGATGAGCACCCTACTCAGGCCGCCTTTGACGTACCCAAGGATGATAGCGACGAGAGCATCCTAGCATTCTGGAACAAGGATTGCACAAGCACATGGCATACTGTCGGTAGCTGTAAGATGGGTCGTCGTGGTGATGAGACTGCTGTTGTGGATACTCAATTTTCTGTAAAGGGCGTCAAGGGTCTTCGTGTCGCCGATCTGAGTGTCTTGCCCGTTCTTGTGAGGTGAGTCTGAAACTGATTGCTGCTTGTGATGAATAACTATTAGCATCTGATGATAACAAAGAACCAAAGCTCCCATACGCAGGCTGCCGCCTATCAGATTGGTATGTTGGCTGCCGAGAAGCTCATACCAGAGTACCGTCTCAACGGAAAGCCAGCCTTGTAATTAATTATATCGAAATTCGACGTCAGCATTTGACTTTTCTAGAATTAGTCAACTTGTATACCCTATCTCGATCATACACCATGTATTACTGCAGCGTTATTAAGTAGAATTGACCAGTGATGAATTTAAACAGTACCAGCCTTTGGTCCATTGAGGAGAACTCTCGTTGTAATTGTAATATTGATCTTATGCCTTATTTATCCTCTGACATTGGCCAGGGCTCTATGGTGACATTCTGCCAAATAGACTTCCAACGATTTGCCTTCTTTTCGTAAGGCTCCCTCTTTGCCAACTTGGGATTCGGCCTCACTATCATGTTAAAGAAGTCTGATAATCCTCGAGGGGCATAAATTGTCCACTCCCCCGTAGTCTCCAATCGCACCCCAATCATTGCACTTGTGGTATGCCAGGTGTCGATGCCTGCCTCGACGCTTTGGTGAGGAGGGCAAGGGACACCAAACTTCTTTTCGAACCATAAATGGACTCGCGCCTGGTTACGGATCTCGACTTCAACGGGTAGGTCGGCAAAAAGCTCCCTCCCGGCTTGGATGACGGCATCTTCCGCTTCATATGAGAGGTCCGAATCGTCAAAGTAGACGAGATCATAATCGCGTATGCCGGTGTCAGGCGGAAAAGACGACATGGTATTCCAGATTGTTTGAGAAACAGCCCCGGCTGCAAGATACCAGTTTGGCAGCTTCAAGGTTGCGGCTCGAGAGAGAATCGTCATGAGTGTTGGATTTGTGGAAACGATTTCGCGAAAGCGCGTAATCTGTTGGTTCAGAGGGAGCTGCGCTGGGTTTATATCCATCTTGAGACACACGCGATACCAAGATCGACTAAAAATCCAGTTGGTGGTGTTGAATCGCTGCAAAGTGAGGGTAAATTTAAGGTAGTGAGGCAACAATGAGCATCATCAGGATCCAAACCCCGAAATTATTTTGCACACAGCATTCGTGATAGCACGTGACCACGTACCATATATGGCTCTCTTCATTCTCATCCCTGATCTCATGCAAGATTATTCAGCTCAGTGCAAATCGATGCCTGACCAAATACCTGATAACAAAACAGTGATACCAGAGAGATGGAATAAAATTACAGATTGTCCGCAAAGAAAAGTGAACATTTTATTCATTCTAGTATATGTACGAGGAGCTTCGGCCTGATTCAGGGCTCGTTCTTCGCATCAATCCAGAGTCTAGATACTGACGGTCGTGCATGGCGTTAGAACCTGGCTTGACCAAGCCGTGAGCCAGGTCGACACATATTGATCTCCTGAACGCACGTGATGACTTCTTCCCTGAGACTGTACCTATATTTCCCAATTAGAATTTGTTGAAGATCGTTAGTTAATCCCCACGACCCTTCAAGATAAATTTGTAGTTCAAATGATAGAGCCACCATCAACAGATTTGACCATTTGACCCTCGATAAACACCATGCGACAATATCACCAGAAAAGGATGTTTCACGTGCCAAAGTAGCACGCATGAACTGAATTTGTAATTGTTGGATGATAATTTCTTTCTGAACAGCTTCTCCGCGGAGACGCGCCTCCCCACGTATCAACCCGTCACCCAACCCGCCAATTAAATCAATCTTATGTACAGCTCACTCAACTTGAATCGGGCCAATTACTCTGGCAGAACCATCACATGGGGTGACTCGTTAGGCTATTCGGGTCCACCCGGTAGATTTAAATGGCTACCCGGACACTCGTATACTTCCCGAAGATTATCAAGGATGTAATGTTGTGACGAGAGATCAGGCCATTCACTTGTGTATCTCCTCGGACTTGCTTGGCCCCCTGTGTCGTTGCTCGGATGGGGAATCCTTGTTCTGTGGCATTAGACAAGGTATATAAATCCAGATTCACTGATACCATGAGGAAGTTCAGATCATCTCTATGGAAGAAAGAACCCTTCGGGCGGAATTTATCATCATTCACTAGTCCCAAACTTGTTATTCTATCAAGACGGCCACGCAAATAGCGCCTCGGTTCCCTTTCCAGCGAGCGTCTGCCCTTGAACCTCCAGCAGAATATGCTGATCTCAGGGCCCGCGAGCCTGTATCCCGTGTTACTCTCTTTGATGGCAGTCAAGCATGGCTTGCCGTGAAGTACGAGGACGTTTGTAAGGTTTCAACCGACACAAGGCTCTCCAAGGTGTGTAAAAATACTGTCTTAGGGTGAATACGAATATGTTATCGTGAAATATTGGAACTCACAGAATACTAGGAACGAACGCGGCCTGGATTTCCTGAGCTGAGCGCCGGTGGAAAAGCCGCTGCCAAAAACAAGCCAACCTTTGTAGATATGGACAGCCCTGCTCATATGAATCAGAGGTGAGAACTTTTAGAAGCTGCTGATCGTAAATGAAAAACTACTAATAATCTGATTTAGAGGAATGGTAGAGCCCTTTTTTGTCAAAGACAAGATTGAAGCTATGAAGCCCTATATCCAGAGAACCATTGACGGTCTGCTTGATACCATGATTGCCAAGGGATGTGCCGAACCAATCGATTTGGTCGAGAACTTTGCCCTGCCAGTTCCTTCATACGTTAGTCTCGTCGTGTTCCTTAATCTAACTAGGGGCTCTTTGAACTAAAGTATAATTTTGTAGATCATTTACACCATTCTGGGGGTCCCCTTCGCAGATCTGGAGTACCTCACAGCCCAGAATGCGATCCGGAGCAACGGCAGCGCAACAGCACAAGAAGCTTCGCTCGCGAACCAGTACGACTAGATTCTTCATCCAATCATTTTTATTCCATTCGCCCAGTTTACTGATATCTCCCCATCCCTCAGGGAACTTCTAGATTACCTCGCAAAACTAGTCGACCAGCGCTTGGAATCACCACAGAACGACCTGATCAGCAAGCTTGTGGTTGAGCAGCTTCGTAACGGTCATATTGAGAAGTCCGATGCGGTGCAAATTGCGTTCCTGCTCTTGGTTGCTGGAAATGCAACTATGGTGAACATGATCAATCTGGTAGGTTTATTGGTCTCGCCAATGACCTCGGCAGCTAACGTGTTGAACCAGGGCGTCGTAGTGTTGATGCAACACCCGGAACATTATGAAGCGCTGAAAGCAGATCCGTCTTTTGTTCCTGGATTTGTTCAAGAGCTCTGCCGCTATCATACCGGATCGTCGCTTGCGATGAAGAGAGTCGCCAAGGTGGACTTCGAACTTGGAGGAAAGGTATGAATCTGGAGCATAAACGTGCCGTAACTCCAAGGATTCTAATTAAGATCATAGACGATCCGAGCGGGAGAAGGTATCATCGCAGCGAATGCCTCGGCCAACCGGGACGAAGATATCTTCCCCAACCCAGATGAATTTGATATGCGTCGTGATTTCGCCGGCCATGATGCGCTAGGTTTCGGCTTCGGTCCTCACCGCTGCATTGCTGAGCATTTGGCTGTTGCCGAGCTTGAGCTAGTCTTTGGTGAGTAGACTCTTCTTCAATTATGACATCAACTACCAAACACAGCATGAGAGGGATGGTCTCGGTGATGCTAACCAATCTGCAGCTACGTTACTTCGGAGACTGCCAAGCCTCAAAGTTTCAATCCCAACCGAAGAGCTTGAGTGCAGCCCTCGCCATAAGGATGTAGGCATCTTGAAACTGCCGGTAGTATGGTAAATCGACGGGATGAGTGTACCCCTCTTAGCAGTTCAATTTGTCATGACACAGAAATATACATGTTCATGTACACTAGAAAGAAAACCCCCCTTTCAGACAGAATGCGAGATGATATTACTTACCCTTTGTTTCTCTCCCTAAAGAATCTAGAGCCGCAGTGGATCTAGGAGTATTGAAATTGAAAAACTATTTGGAATTGGCCTATTCTGATTGTAATAATAACAGTATGTACATGTAAAGGAGAGTTCCGTTGTATCCTCCCATATTAGTGATAGCAAGTATTACCAGCAAGTCTCGAGACGGGGAATGAGTCAGCTCAAATCTTCCGCAGCAAATAAGACACGGGCAACCCCTCAAGAATCTCTACTTGTCGAGGAGTCTGCTCGTTTAACCCGTACGATCGCACCATCCTTGGGATGTCCAGTGTCCGAAGTCAGCGGGAACTCGTCGTCAGAATGGTGACCGCTTTTTGAATTGTAACCCGCCCTAGTATCTTGTTCCACCTTGACTTCAATTTCAGTTCGCCTGTGAATTCCAATTCCACCGCCATTTCTGGGCAGATCCTCGTCCGAGTTACCAGCCACGATTTTTGATATCTGCGCCAACGCCACTGAGTTGCCTTGGTTCCATGTGCTCTGCCGCTCGGCGTGGCTCTGGTTCCCGCTATACCCCCCAGTAGGGTTGGAGCTGGAATTATGTTCGGGGTAGAATTCGTCCGAGCCTCCATTGCTGGCAAGTCGCGTGATGAGCTTGGCCATGGACATTTCGATGTTGAGTTTGACCATGTACGTGACAGGATGGAATTGGATAAAGACCGCTTTGTTTTCGAGCCACATCAGGCCAATGAGCATGGCCTAATTATGTTAATGAGCGAACAAGACTCAGACACCAGTGCATGATGGCATTTGTACTTACGTCCATGGCGATGGATAGAGCCATCAATCGGGCGTTAAAAGAAACCAAAGGTTTGTACTTCTTCAAGTTGTGCTGCTTCACAAGACGTTGCTCCACAGTTCGGAGAAAATACCAGTTCAGAAAGCCATCTAGAGCCATGATGATAAATTTGGAGGCGCGATCCCAGTAGTTGTTGATGTCGACAAATCTGTACCAAGTTAGGTATTGAGGAGGCAATACAAAGGATGATCCTAGCTTACAGCTGGCTCACAGGGGGATCGCGATGAGCGGGGATGAAAATGCAAAACACAGCGATGTTTACGCAAGTCATAATCCCAGCAGTGGTCCATTTCATGATCGCAATTGTTTTCCTATGTTCGGCGATGATGGCGATCCGGTTAACGATGATCTGCATCAGCAGCTGGACTTGGAACACCCAAAAGAAGAGTACGAGGAACAAAATTGGAATACTGTAGCAGCATTAGCCACATGAAGACAAAAAAGATGGGTTCTACCGGCACATACTCCGAGGGAACAACTTGATCAATCCAAAGCCAACCAGAAACCATCATCCCTATGTTGGCGACGATCTCACCCCATATCATGTAGATGTAGGAACTCCGAAGCGGGTTTCGATTTCGTCGGGTCTGTTTGATGGCCTCCCACGTCGTCAAGAACCCAAAGCCGATGGTGAAGCCAAAGGCCATGGCTGCGACCGTAAGGTCACTATTTGACTTGACGGGCGATACTGGCTGCGAATCCATGGCGGCGAAGGTGGCTCGTGCTACCTCAAACTCGAGGTAGTAGTTGCAAAAGGGAACGAACGAACAGGAAAGATCATCGCTTCACCGAAACCCGGGACCCTGTAGATTTTAATTCCGCCAGATCTTGCATATGAGCGGAAGTCAATGAGCTCACCAGCTCTTGAAGTGTCAAGGACCTGACTAGAGAAGGGGTATCCAGTCATAGAGTGTCCACTGCTTGATCTAAGTGTAGCATGGATCTGGCACTAATGACTGTCTTAGTACAGATCAAGGCAATGCCAGCGGCGCCATGATTGCATCGTAATATTAGTCCCTTCAGTGGCCAGGACTGGGTTGGGCGAATCTTAGCTCTTAGGTAGTGACAAGAGGCGAGGAGGGCAAGACACGGACAAGAGTTACCGAGAAATTTCACAGCTCTCACCAACTCTAGTCGCGTGGATATGTAGCTGGTTTAGCCCGTTCTCACATGAAACAAGGCAAGCTCGCGTAGAAACAAACCTTCCGTATCCTTTTAACGGGATATCGGATGAGAAGATCGTGTGTGATCTGTGCGGATCAGTGGAACAGCCGATTCGGCCCTTCTTAGCCGTGTTTAGTAACGAACCATCTAGCGCCTTGAGTCTCAAATAGCTGCTCCATCATCAAGGGCAGGTGAAGAAACAGACCTACCTATCGATTAGTGTAGCCCTTGTTTAGCAAACAACGGCCTACGTAAACGCTGATAAGGCAAAGGCACATCTTGGTTTGTGAGCCTGGGTTGGCCACCCTAATAGCATGATGGTGAGGAATGGCCATTATCTACAATAGCAAGCCAACTTGAAGACTAATTCTCCCAGCAACCTTCAACAAGTGAAGCTGCGGGCGGCATAAGTGAATCACTTGGTATGGAATGGTCTTCGATCTATAATCTTTGGGATGACACATGTGTGTCGCCAAGCGGCTACTTTTGGTTTCTCGTGTCATAGGGGTCTGTTCACATCCACGTGGCGGAATTAAGCTGATGCTAGCTTGGAAATTTTTGAGTTTCGGTGACACACCGTGGAAAGTCCCGCTTCCGTTCCTCCGGCCGGTAAAGCAACCCGTGAAGCCGTCAGGTGTGGCTGGCAGATTAGTTCATTCAGGGGCTCTCCTACATCCAGTCAGTGACCACAAGCTTTTTGGATATATACTCAACATGAGAGTATATTTTCCATCTATTAAGAGTGGCAGCGGCTCAACCGTCTAGCCAGAGTCTGAGTCCTTATTAAGGCATGCCACGTTGCTCCCGAAGTTGCCTTCTCTCGCTGCTTGTAGATAAATCCGATCCCCCAACCATTCCAAATACGTATTGGGGGCAACGGCCCACGACAAGGTCCGCTTCGTAATGAATCATTCACAATGGGGCCGATACTGGTCGGGATTGGGAATCACACTTAAGCAGATAAGAAGGCGGAACCGCCATTGAACCTTGCCTTAGAGAAACCGGACTCTTCAACCCGTTGGTCGTATTGACTTTTGCCACCAATAGTTCGATCTTAACCCAAAGACAATCTCGCGAGAAAGACGACTAGGCAATGAGTGGGTGTGGTTTCCCAAGAGACGGCCATACTAGTTCAGGGAGAATATGTCCTACCATTCTACGCCCCTCCCATCACCAGTTTGGTCCCATAAACCCGGGTATGACATCAAATATTGATGAGGCTTGAAAATTTCGAATCTTAGATAAGTGGAAACGTAGAAAGACGATGGATTGTTACCTAAGCTACGATAACATAGACAATACACATCATTTTCATCAAAGGGGGAGACCTTGCACCTGAGGGCCGAGGCGTCGTTTGAAGCCATGAAATCGTAATCTTGCTAACTGAACTTACCCAAATCTGCTGAAGGTCCATTAGATTGGCTCTCGGACTGGTGATACCTTTAGCAAGAGATGGTCGATGAGACTGCTATAGGCACCCGGCAAGACATGTGGTACCCCTGTGCCGGACCCTAGACTACTGCGGTATATCACGCACAACGTGGAAGCGTGCAATGCCATCATTCGCAATCTGAGCGACGAGTCCATGCTCCCAGTCAATGTATCCTTGCATATCTTTTCGAGCGTTTTCAGTTCCTTCGTATGGGCGTTTGTATACATCAATAGGTTCTGACAACCATTGGTGTTCTGTCTCAAGGAATTTGCCCCGGGCTGTCCATGCCGCCGTTCCTCCGCTTAAATACAGAATCTCTCGCGAGAGGTTCGTGATAGCTTCGCGAGCGTACTCCACATTTGCGGCTGCAATCTTGCCGTCTGGCGATGTTAGCACGATAGGCCCGGAACCCGGAGCGGATTGCAGATCACGGGCAAGCTCTGGGCCAGAAGCGAACCAAGCCCCAGGTATGTGGCCCTTTCGATAGACTGGGCTGCGGGCAAGGTCCACGATCGTTGGCTCGGGAATTCTTTCGAGGTCCTCGACTGTTATAGCACCAGACTTTGGTACTTTCCAAGAGGCTTGCGTGGTTGAGGGGAGATCATCCGGCACTGAAGCACCGTGTTCAAGAACTTGGACATCCCACCCAAGCTGTAACAACCAGCTAGCAGTCATGAGAGCTCTGACCCCATCAGTATCGTATAGCACTATCCGGGCGCCTCTGACGCCAACCCATTCGTCAGTAGCTTGGACCAACTGCCCACCGGGAGCAGAAACAAAGCCCTTCGGATGTCCCTGCTCGTACTCTTTTGGATCTCTCACATCCAGCAGGTACAGCGTTCGTGATTCCGCTGCCGATGCGAATTCTCTGAGTCTCTCTACACCAACAACGGACACACCGACATGGTTAGCCCACCTTTTGGCATGCTGTCGCGACTGTTCCACAGCTGAAGATGACGGCTGCCCGACTCGCTCAATTCTACCCTTGTCCAGTTCCAAACCCTCGAGCGTCCAACCGATGGTTCCATTTTCGAGAGCAACAACTCTGTTGGGAATGCCCGCGTTGACTAGAGACTGAGTACCAATGATACTTCGGGTACGGCCTGCGCAGTGGACGATAACGGTAGTAGTCGCGTTTGGAGCTGCCTCAAAGACCCGGTACAGCAATTCCCCTCCCGGACAGCTCTGCCCTCGCGGAATGCTCATGGTATGGTACTCCTCGTACCTCCGAGAATCCAGAACTACCACATCACTGTCGCCTTCTAGAAGTTGCTTGATCTCACGTGCAGGCAAGGATGGCGTGTGACGAATGGCCTCCACCAGCTCTCCAAAGGCTTTTGAGGGCACATTTACGTCCCGAAATACCTCGCCCACCCGAGCATAGCCCGAAAGGCCACCTGCTAAAATAGAAACATTAAGATAACCTATGGCTTCGAGTCGTGCCACAGCACGTTCGACGTAGCCCTCCCCATCGTCGTAGACAATGATGGGCACGGAGAGCCGAGGAACAAGAGCTGGAACTTTGGCCTCTAATTCCGATACCGGCACGGTCAGTGCGAAAAATGGATGAGCGTCTGCATAGGGCCCTTCTTCTCGGACGTCAATCAAGGCCACTTCATCCTTGTTAGCCCAGTAACGGCGCAACGTCTCCGCGGACACTGTTTTGGCCATTGTGTTGCGTTCTGGATGTGTATATCCGTGGGTGAAGAGGCGCGGGGGTTTGTCGATATTTGATTACTTGGCGGAAAGCTGACAGCGGTATGGGAATATGCTCAGGTGATTTACCCCGGTCTGCGGACAAATTCACCGGGGAACAAAAACACAGGCAGGTGGACTTGCTCCAACCTTTTGACAAATGCTTGCGTGTATTTCAAGCTCCCCAGACATAGAGGGAGCGGACATTTATTACACACCATAACCCCGCTCACACTCGTCATGTCTCCACGCTGCTACTACTGTACAACTTGAACAGCCGAGACAGCCCTCTGACTCTGTTTGTGTTACACTAAACTTGTACTGGTTAAAGCTTCTAACTACGACTATACCCTCGGACAAAATCATATTACATCAACGACCTCAGAAGCAAGCAGTGTTTAGGTAATATTTTCTATTGCCGAAAGCTGATGGGAAACACGCAAAGAACACCCTATCTGCCTTTGTTCGCCGCACTACGGATGTATGGCTCAAGAGGAAAAACCTCAGTCTCTGGCCGCACACCTTTGTATATTTGGTCCCATCTAGGCTGGAGAACCTCAGGAGTGTGCCAAGCATTTTCAGGATCGCGTAACCATAGGCGAAGTAGGTGGCGCCTGCATAAGAGGGCGCTGTTAGTTAACTATCTTGCGTCTCTTTTCACGAAATGATGTTCGACCTACTGTTTCTCTCCCTCATTTATAAAGCCATCCCTAGCGTGAAAGATATTGAGGTTGTTGACATATTGAATGTCGCCTTTTTGGAACTCAGTATTGACGCAAAACTTCTCCCCAATGAAGTGCAAGGTGTCTAGGGCCTCAGCTTGTGCCTCTGTAATGGGGGGAATATCCGCGCTCCGGGGAAGCGCGCCGAACCCTACAAAGTATCGTCGCCCGTATTGTAGAGAGACTCTTTGGGGGGCAGTGTCAGTGGCTGGTAGCAGGTGAAGAAGCGGTCTTTCCATCCACTGCTTGTCGGCTTTTTCGAACCTGGGCATGATATCAGTTAATATCTTGCAAACAGGCAGCGCACATTCAAGTCGACATACACTTCCATGTCCCACGACTCAGCAAGAGTATGAATCAAGTCGGGTCGGGTCCGAGCGATCTCGTTATAGACTGTCCATGTGCTTGCTAATTTGCTAGCACCTCCTTCCTTGGCTGTCTCAAGAGCAAAAAGTGCAACTATATCCCCTGAGTCGGTGTGGAAAACCTGCTTGTCGGTGGTATAGGCAGGACTGCCGATGATCTTATTCGGATCAGATTCGCTGAGATCCTTTACGTGCGTAAGAACTACGTCTGCTGGCTTGCCATTGAATTTGTGATCTTGTCGGCCTCGCTGCGCAGCAACATGGGCAGATATTCCTGTGTAAATTATAATATTGTCCTCTCTGCTGTGGTCCCCGACTTTGATGCCGCGGATGACAAAGAATCCATGGCCACTATGAAGCTCATGAGATAAACGTCGAAGTTCAGAGTGGAGTGTTGGAAGTGGGAACGTGTCGGCGGTAATGTGACCATACGACAGACTGAGAGCTGTTGACCCTATATCAGTACCCGTAGAACTCATAAAGAAAGCTTTTATCCCATGTTATTTCCATATCCGCTTGCGTGAAGGATACCAACATTTGAAGTGAGCAACGGCGCGGTCAATCTCAGCTAGTTGCTCGGCGTTGAGGACATATGTCCAATCATACGACTCTGCCAGGGTCGCACCCTGCCAAACTACATCCCCAGTCAACTTCTCTGGAAATCCCTCAGGCACCTTGGAAGGAAGATTGCCCGCAGCAAGGCGTCTGGCAACGCGGGCCTGCCAGTTGTCATAGTTGGGGGCATAGTTGATCTCAGGTTGACCAGGGGGTGGTTGAGCGGCCGGGGTGACCCAAGTTACTGTCGTGGTCGACATGGTAGTGGCAATAGTCTTTCAATCTCGGTCAAAAGAGTTAATCTCGATGGACTTGAGGTAGAATATAAGTCTTATACTTCAGATGGTATCTAAATGTTTTTATGCAAAAGGTCTGCCTCAAGATGGGCTGACTATGATAGGATTGCACATGCTGACCCCGGACTGCCAGTGCCAAGCAAGATCGCCCGGAGGAATACGTGCTTTTAAGCCCCCATTGCACCATCCATAAAGCATAAGCCGGAATGAAACGTGCTTCAATTAAGCAATTGCAGCATGCGTGAAGGTCCAATTTTCTAATCATTTACGCCTAGTGTTCAGATTATATGAGTTGATGAAGGAGGAGACATGATACAGAATGGCATAGCTATAAAACGTAACTTCTATCATTTTGTTGTTAGAGCGCCTCAATCTCTTGGTTTCTTTCTGCGAGAATCAGGACCAGGCTATCTTCATATTATCGATAATACAATGGCTCCGAATATAGCCAACGAAACGGTGGCCGAGGCATCGGCAGAAGGGGAATTGTCATCTCACGTTGACGAGCTCAGCTTGAAGACGGCTCAGCGATCCGGAAAAGCCGCCATCACCCACGACGGCACGGGCTTGTTCGAGGACGAGTTGACTCGAGAGGCTGCGCTTACGGCCTTGACTGCTGAAGAGGAGAAGCGGCTGCTCCGAAAGGTCGATTGGCGCCTGATACCACTGCTTTGCACGCTATATCTTGTGAAGAAGCTGGACGAAAATAACGTGGGCATTTTGCATCTCAAAGATTAAGATCAACTCGCTTATGTCTACCAGGTTTCCAATGCACGAATTATGAACAAGGGCACGGATCGTAATATCCTGACCCAGCTCGGCATCACGTCTGACCAGTTTGGCATGGTCACGGTTCTATACACTGTGAGTTGTAGCGATCATCTGCGTCAGCTGAGACTTTATGCAGAAACTGATCAAACATAGGTGCCATACATTGTGGCCGAAATCCCCTCCAATCTGCTGTTGAAAAAGTTCAAACCGTCACGTTGGCAATCTAGAATCATGTTCTCATGGTAAGCAGCTTCCTCTAATAGCATGTGTTTTCAAGACGAGTATAATTACTGATCCGCTTCCAAGGGGCCTCGTCACTGCTTGTACCGCGGCAGTTAGCAATCTCGGTGGTCTTTACGCTTGTCGCTTTCTCCTTGGTTTGGTAGGTCGTGTGAATTTAACACGGAGATCTTGCCTCCTTGATTAGCCGGAATCTGACATTGCATCATAGACCGAAGCAGGAATGTTCCCTGGCATCATTCTTCAACTATCCTACTGGTATCGGCCTGACGAGATTGCCGTTCGATTGATCTGGATTTGTAAGTCAACCTGGTTGTGCAGAATATATGTACCGTGGGTAGCTGACAAACATCAAGACTCTTTAGGTAATGTTGCAGGTATCATCGGTGGTCTTTTGGCCTATGCATTCCATGCTGTTTCGGGGGCTGGGGGATTATCTGGCTGGCAATGGTATATTCACACCTTTGAATTCCCAATGTTCACTTCCGAGTACCACTAACATCATCATCCAACAGGCTGTTCGCTATTGAGGGGGCTGCCACTGTGGCTCTGTCCATCCTTGTCTACTTTACCCTCCCTGATTGTATGTATAAATGTCAAAGCAACCTTTCTTAATTTCTCCTTTACACGCAAAGGCAGCACAGTTGACATCTTCACCAGTCCCTGGTAATACGAAATGGCTATCGCCCGTAGAGAAAGCATTCCTTCAGGCCCGCCTGCCACCAAACGCTCCCCGCTCATCAGAGAAGAATTTTGTCTTTAAGGAAGTTCTACACAGTCTCAGTGACAAGAGACTCTGGCTGTTTACTCTCAGTTGGGCTCTAATGACGAGCGGAAAGAACGGTATCGATTTCTACCGACCTACCATCATTTCCCACATGGGTTTCAGGTAGGTTCGTTCAAGTCACTTTTGAGGGCTTTGATGTTAACTTCTCTTCTTAGCGATATTGCTACTGCCCAGGTCTTGAACATCCCTACGTCTTTCTTAGCAATTATCCTGATCCTCGTCTTGGGTTACGCGTCCAACACAGCAATGATCCCAATTCCAATCTACCCTATTGGATGCACAATCGTCATCATTGCCATGTACTCAATCCTCGTGGTATATCCCAACGACATCGGCGTATATATTGGAATGATGATTGGAATTGCCTGTGGTACCGCTTGGTTTCCGTAAGAACAAACTCCCCGCTCCATCTACTTGATATTGTATTCCTAACACTTCATGCTGTAGTCTTATGTGGCCGTGGCGCGCTCAAACCGTCAACGGAGCCACCGGTTCGGCGTTTGCGATTGGATTTGTCAACAGTTACGGCCAGGTTGGTGATGCTATTGGGCCGCAGATGTTCCAGGAAAAGTACGAGCCCCGATATCAATTGCCATTCGGTCTCTCAATGGCCCTCATTGCTCTATGTGGCATTGTCAACGGAGTGACATGGTGGGTTACTCGGCGGACGGAGAGTGACACACGGAAGCATAAGCTGGCTCGGCGGAAGGCAAGGGAAAATAACGAGGCGGTCCTTGACGATGTTTTAGACCGGGACTTTCAGCCCACATCGCGTGGCGTTTGACCAGTCAGAGTTTCTACAATGGAACAAAGTAAACAAGGTGAAGGTCATCTTTTTCAACATAGGATAGAGTATGGATCAAGCCTCCTAGTAGACATTATATGTCTATTGTGAGATCTAACATAGTATCTAGCGGTGGGACAGCTCTTCATCTTGTAATGGGAATAGTCTACCAATACGTATGAGAAGACAAGATCCCTCTAGTAATGGCTTATAGATGAACCTGTACTGTAAATACTGAGACACCAAATGGCAATTATGACACCGGGTAATAGCGTAGGTTGCTGGTAGAGCTGATGGATGGCGTGATCCGAAAACTGTCCGCTGTGGAGACGATTGGACTCTTTCGCCGAGAAAACTATCCGATGCTGAGGTAAAAACCTCCGAGAACGTCGAATGAGTGGTTGCATTCACCTTACCCAGTAGCGTTAGGACATAAACGTATTCTTCCGAGAAGAGCAGATACGAACCCTCCCCTGCAGTGTGCAATCGCGATATTAGTCCGGTAGGGACGATGCATTGTGTAGTTTCGAACGCGAGCTTGCACCTCTTGCTTCCAGCTTTACGTACTACTATCTTCAGTCTTTTTTTCGTATATCTCAGTGGCTATTGTGAGCTTAAACCTTGACCTTCATAACGAACTATACAATCGTCAAACGCAATGGGCTCAGACTCACCCTTGGCTCCGAGAGCCTCAAGTGAACCGTATTATGACTTGGGAAACTACAGCATCAAAGTCAGTACCACCTCTACGGAAGCTCAGATCTGGTTCAGTCGTGCTATGCTGTGGACATACTGCTTCAACCATGATGAAGCCATTACATGCTATAAACAAGCAATCGCTCAAGATGAGGACCTCGCGTTGGCATATTGGGGAATTTCCTTTTGCTCAGGCCCCAACTACAACAAGACCTGGAGGCTGTTTGACGAGAAAGACCGAGTAGAGGCCATCCATACATGCTATACCTACTCGCAACTAGCTCTACAAAGAATATCGAACGCAGCGCCATGGGAAACGGGTTTGATAGAAGCACTGAGGTCGCGCTTTCCTGACAACAACCCCGACCGTGACTTGGGAGCCTGCGACAGAGCATATGCAAACGCCATGAGGGAGGTGTACCAAAGATTTGGCCAGGGAAATTTGGACATCACTACTCTATTTGCCGATGCACTGATGAATGTTGCGCCTCGAAAGCTATTTGACACGGCCAACGGCCTTCCTATCACTACAAGTCCTGTATTTGAGGTCAAGGACCTTCTAGAGGGGGCTTTGCAGATTACAGGCGTTGAAAGACATCCCGGTGTCGCCCATATGTACATCCATCTCATGGAGATGTCGGCCACTCCCGAGGCTGCTCTCCCAGCAGCTGACATGATCCGCGATCAAGTTCCTGATACGGGACACACATATCACATGCCTGCACACATCGACGTACTTGTCGGTGACTATCGCCGGGCAGTAGAGTACAATCTCAAGGCCACAATTGCAGACGACAAGTACTTTCAGAAAAACGGCGCTTTGACCTTCTATAGCTACTATCGGCTACACGACTATCATTCTCTCATATATGCTGCTATGTTGGCTGGAAAGTCCAAAGCAGCACTTGATGCAACGGAGCGTATGGAGGCTACTATCACGGAGAGTCTCCTCCGCGTCGAAACCCCGGCCCTGGTCACTTGGATGGAGTTCTTCATGGCAGTCCGTGTCCATGTGTACATTCGCTTTGGCATGTGGGCTGAGCTCAAGGCGCTAAGGCCTCTGGAGGATAAGAGACTTTACTGTGTCACCAATGTCATGAGACACTACGGCAAGGCCATTGCGCATGCTGCAACGGGCGAGATAGAGGAGGCCGACAAGGAACATGAGTTGTTCAGAGAAGCATCCGAGCTAGTTCCGCCAACGCGTCTTGACTTTCCTAATAAAATCACGGACATATTGAAGGTTGCTTCGGCTATGCTAGACGGAGAGATCGAATACAGGCGGGGTAATTACGAGACATCGTTTAGGAGACTGAAGGATGCTATTTCTCTCGAAGACGACCTCCTCTTTGCAGAGCCATGGGGATGGATGCTGCCAGCCCGGCATGCATACGCAGCATTGTCCCTAGAACAAGGGCATCTCGAACAGGCTGCTGTTGCATATGCAGAGGATCTTGGCCTTCAGCCTACGCCAAAGCGGGCTCATCAGCATCCAAATAATATATGGGCACTCCACGGCTATCATGAGTGTTTGCTTGGGCTCCAGCGCGATGCGGAAGCCAATATCATTCGGCGGCAATTGACACTTGCCGCAGCAGAAGCTGATATCGAGATTACGTCGTCATGTTTTTGCAGATTCGGGGAGTTACAAAAAGGTAGCAAAGTGAACGGAAAATCCTGCCATAAGAAGAGAAAATGTGAGAAAATTCGTTGAACACCACTTTATGGAAGATACTGGGAAAGTTCAAGTTCAAGACATGATATATATACCTTTTCTTTCCTAGGCGAATCTCAAGTCACGGCATCCTTAAATTGTTTAATTTTAGACCTCACCTCATCAACAATCTGATAACAAGGCGTTAACACCCGAGCTGCTGGGCTCTGTGGGCAGACATCCAACAGATCAGGAGCGGCATCATGATCTTTTTCTTCCTTCAAGCAACGTCCCTCCGGGTCCGGGCATGCCTCGTGGCCCACGAGATGGCGATTATGCTGCCTCACCGCAAATTGTCTGCCTAGGTCCAATAACCTCTCTGCGTCGCTTTTAAGGCCGCCCACTACTAGGTCATAAAACTTGTCGCTACTGATCTTGAAGCCGAGTGCCGAACTGGCATCCGCCCCAGGCATGAGATATACGGTATCGTCCATGCCCCTCTCCGAGAGACCACTGCAGTGGTCCTTGAGCCATCTCACGTAATTTTGATACCCATTCGTGACCTCGAGTGATAGCCTACCGAGGAGGAGTACATTTTGTAGAGTGTTACGCGGTGGGCTGGAAACATCGTAGCATATCACACACTTTAGGAGCTTTTCCACAAGGTCGGCACCGAGACGGAGAGTTCGGACGGTATTGTGCGACACTGGGCCACTTTTCAATAACCTTATGACTTCGAAAACTCGTCTGGCACAGTCGCAAGCCTCATGCTGCTGCTGCGGCGGCGGCGCATCCGGTGTGGCCGATGCGTTGGAAGACCGCTCCGCCGAAGCCGCACCGTCGGCATAGTTGAATAAACAGGCCTGGAAAGGGTCGAGAGGCAGTGAGTCCAGCTGCTCACTTGTGTTGAAATCGAGTAGCGGCGGCAACCCCTCGAAGTCATGATAGCTTAAACCCAACTGATCGGCCTCACGTAGAGTCCATTCCTGCTGCGTAGCCGGCCACAAGTCGGTCGAGCTACTCGTAGCTACTAGGGATTTTTGAGCAAAGACTGCCGCTGATGGGGCTTGCTCTGAATTTTGTCGAAGATCCAAGTCTTGCTGGTAAGAATTCCTCCCGTCGCTCATGTGATCACTCGAGCGATCAGTCTCTAGGGCAGTGTCTTGTCCATCTCGGCCATAAGCTTGCTGAATATTTTGTCGATGGTTGTCGAGGCCTCGAGTCTCAATGAGTGACCATTTCCGAGGTCTTCCAGGGATGCCTTTGTCATGAAACTTGCAAGTGAGACCAAGCTTTACACATCGGGAGCACCCGGTACCCTTTCCTGAGCATCTCAGTTTTCGGGCACCTAACCATCAGTAAGCCACGATCCATGAACAACATTCAATTGCATTTGAAAGCTCCTACGACTTCAGATACAAGCAAGGGGGAGGGACTTACGACACGCTTCGCAAGATTGTCGCTTCTGTCGCACGGCGCTCATTGCGGTATCTATATTTACACTAAATGGAAGTGATTGGACGTCTTTTAAGGACCTTCTATCGGGTCTAGAGCCTGCAGCAGCGTGTTTTAACGCAGGAACATGAGGAAATGGCGAATGCAAGCGGGGTAATGTCGTGATGGGGGTTCAAGGTTGTTGGGGGGGAATAAAGCAACATTCCCGGGGATTCAAAGATTAACTAATATAAGGCGTCTGGACTAACTAGACTAGTCTAATTATGTGAGGGGGCCGCTTTGAACACCTCCTTTCTTTAAATTCATCCAATGCATTTCGTGTCAAACTACGTAATCGACAGCGTCATTCGTATAAGAGTGTACGAATATCCCCTTGAAGCGAGAGAAATACTAGTAAGTAGTAGTAAGTAAGTGAGGGAGCTGTACAGCTGCTGAAAAAAAAAGGGGAAATTCCCAGATACTAGTAATTTGATAACTTGATACTATACCCAGGTATTATAATATAATAAACTTCAGCCTTACAGCTATAAGCCTTATACCCAGCTGTATCCAAGGTTTAATACTAAAATAGCTATACTTATATTATATATAAGGTTTATTAATACTAAAGGCTGTACCTAGTAGTAACTCTTTTATCAGTATAACTCCTTTTATAAACCTTAAGATACTAATTTTTATCTATAAAGGCTGCTATTACTAGCCTGAATAAACTATATAGCTTAAGTCTATCTACACTTGTAATAGTATTAATAATTCGTAAATCACTGTACTCAAATAATCCAAGTATTATATATCGCTGCTTACAGACAAGCCAAGCGCTGTCGCCACACCACCTTCGCCGCTCCATTAATAATTAGCTACATCAAGCTTTACCATCGGGGCAGTAAAAAACTCACTCAGTCGAATTATTCAACTTCTCTGCTAGCATCACTCCGACTCCAGTCTTCACAAAGACTTCAAACATCTAACCAAGCCTGCATCTCGCCCGGTCTGCCACAGCAACCAAATACACTCTGAACCTCAATAACAGTTATCTCAGTCCAAGAAAATACCTACACTATAATAAAGAAGAGAACCAAACAGAGGAAGCAGGTACTTACTATAGTACCTATTATTCAGTCAGGCCGGCTGAATAACTAAGCTCTAAAGATCTAGCCTAAGGTTAATACTAATAACTATAAGCTTATTAGACTAGCTAAGATAGTTAGAGAGGTTAAAAATCTCTCTAAATTTAACCTTAAATAGATTATTAGCCTCTTTTAACTTAGATCTCAGATCCTTAGTTAAAATAACTCCTTTAAAGAGGAGTATTTTAATCAGATTAATATTAAGATAAAATATAGTAATTAGCTATCTTTTATTAAATATAAAAGCGATTTACTAAGATATAGTGATTATAACCGCTGCTGCCTATAGCTGCATGAAGACAGCTACTAAGGTTGTATACAACTGGGGAGGAGAGGAGGAAGGAAGGCAGCAAGAGGGATAGATAGCTAGGCCAGCCAAATACAAGCCCACTGTCTCTCTCAAACACACGAACGTACACACATACACCTGTCCTCGTAGCCCCCCCCGCGAGAGAAATACATTAACGATTTGAGTGTTATTAATGTAAATAGCGTACTCTACCTCGTGTTAGCTTATGTAAAGTCGCTATTCCCTCCCCAGGGGCTGGAAACTATGGCGATCTCGAAACGAATAATAATCACTTTCTTTGTCCAACACATACATGATCTTAGGCCGCTACCTGAGGTCGATTTGTTCTAGTCTTCAACTTGCAGACCAATCCTCGCTGCACTGCAAACCTAGATAGACGGTGAGAAACGCTTCAAGCGTGCGGCGCGGGTTGCGGAAATGCTTACCAGTAATCGATAGTCTGCAGGTCCTTCTGTGGTGTTACCAGAGTGATGTCGAATTCTCGGAACATTTGAGGGATAATCTTGGACATCTCCTGGATATCGTATTAGCCAACAAGAAAAGGGTCTCAAGGGAAACTGTGTATAAGGACGCGGGATCAAGAAGTGCTTACCATCATCGAGATGTGCTTGCCGATGCAGCTCCGACTTCCTGCGCCAAATACCAGAGATGACCTCTCCATATCCTTCAGTTGCTCCTCACCAGCCTCCAGCCACCTCTCTGGGCGGAAAATATCCGCATCCTCTCCATAGATGCGCTTGTCACGAGCCACTACCCAGGGGTTGATGCCGACAATGGTGCCTTCGGGGATAAATGTGCCGCTGATGGTGGTGCCACCCTTGGGCACATGTCTCTCCATGATCAAGCCGACGCTGGGATGGATGCGCATGGCCTCCTTGAGAACCGCTTGCAGATATGGCAGACGACGGGCCTCGCTCTCCTGGATGGGGTCGGACAGCTTTCCCGCAGCGTCCCACTCATCAAGTTCGCTCTGCAATTTGTTATAGCAGAGCGGGTTGGTGATCAGATTGTGAATGATGGCTCGCAGGGCAATAGCCGTGGTATCGCTGCCAGCAAGGACGTTGGTACTGGTGTGGTTGACAATATCAGCATCCTCAAAGGCGCCGCCATTATGGCCCCCCTTGGAGCCGGCTTTGACCATTTTCTGAAACCGGATGAGGAAATCGTCGCGGCCCTCTTCGAAATTTTCTTTGCTTTCCTTCATACACTTGACCGCGAAATTCACTGCCGGGTTGAAACTCTCAATGGCTGGCATGATGTAGGGAAGAAGCGGGTTGCCAACGAGCAACTTGTGGAGATAAGGAATCTGGCCGATGACGGCGGCGTAGACGAAGAAGTTTCCGAGCGTGGCGATCATATCGTCGATATCCCTCGACTGCTCAACAAAGCCTAGTGTTTTGGAAAAAGTGAGGTTTCCGATTACATCAAAAGCATACCATCTAGAAGCAGGAGAATTAGTCACAACGTTCACGACGCTGGGCAATTGTGATGGTCGGAGCTCTCAAGCTTACTGGAGCCATTCGCCGAGGTCAATGTTCTTATTGTTTCTCTCGTGTTCCCTAAGCTTGTCCATGAAAAGCTTTGATACATGGTCAATCTTGAATTCGAGGTCCGTCAAGGCCGCCATACTGTAGACATGGCCGATTGGTCGTTTGATTCGGGCATGGAATGATTCATCACGGGCTGCAAACACATTGATGAGTCTCTTCTTCTCGAAGCGGCCCTCTTGAATCGGGTAAAATGCGGTTTTGGTGAAGCCACCGTTGACGCCATAGATGATCTTGATGGCAGACGCATCTGCTATCGAAATCTGGTTGGGTCCGATGCGGACCAACGGCCCGTACTTTTGATGCAGAGAAATTGCTAGAGAGTCTTGTCAGCACCTATTACACAACAGATTGGGTCAGGGTAGCTCACATTGGTGCTGGAAATCGCCCTTGTAAACTTGCCATGCTCGCCACAAACCGGTATATCCTGCCCAGTACGGCCCAGGGATGGTTCTTAAGTGTGATGTATATTTGTGTGAAAGGGTATAGAGAAACACAGCTCCAATAGCGATGTAAAGCAGATGAGGAGCAGCATACGTTTCGTACAGTTTTACCAGCTCGGACAGCGGCGAGCCAGCGAGGATGCCCATGGTGTCGATCGTCAAGAGGAAACCCGCGTCCAATGAATTTGTTGCAATAGTATTTGCCTTGTTTCAAATGTTTGTCACGGAGGGTCAGCAGCGTGGTTTGTATCTGCCGTGGTAAGAGGGAAGGGGACTACATATTGGCTCTTTTATATTCTAATCAGCCGGGGAAATGGAAGCATGACTTGCCGCCTATCTCCAATCACAGCACATCTAATCACTTACCCCGCATCCCCAGGTTCATAAGGCCATCCCCAGATAGCTGTTAGCGTGGGGATGTGGATATCTGGCAGAGTCATGCTCGTCGGAAGGGACTGTGAGAGCCTCAAATTAGCTACCCGACAATATCTATCCGACAAGCCCAAGACTAGACGTCACCATAAACAGGAATAGTTCTACGGGGCATCCTTCTTGGTCACTCTTAGTCTACTAATCTCACCAACTGGATAGGATGCTTTTGACATCACGGCGAAAGACTGGGACTGATCAGCGAATACTGACATCAAACAGCCCCGACTAGCGCATCTTGGAGCCGCCGTTCGCTGTTCCGACAGTTTAGAACGTCTCATGCCGCCGATACCGCATTTTGTACCAAGAGAGCCTTACACACCAGGGAACCAGTGTTCGGTATCGTCGTGTCAGAGTTTGTAGATATACGAATTCTAACTATGATTGAAGGGACCAACGTAGCTATGCCGAGTGACATGCCTTCTCCACGAGATTCTGTGAACGAACTTAGTTTGTATGCGTCTCAAATCAGGGCGGGTGATCAAAGAAGGTGGAGGCAGCGGCAAGGCGATCCGCCGCTTGGAGATGCGACTCACGGCTGACGGTAACCGCCGCACAGTGTTAGAGCTGATTCTGTTCCTTTTCATGCCTCCAAAATTCGAAAAGTATGATCAATTTTTTGTGAGAACATAGCGCTGTCTGTAAGGATATTGAACATCGAGTTTTTATCCTTCGTGTCAAAGGTTGGCTGCCGCGGAAGGGAAATGCACAAAGACTACGTTCGGTGATACGCACTGTAAGAGGAGCATGACTATATACGAAGCTCTACCCAGCGGACAAATAGAATAATGAAACGTAATTGTTCCTCAAGCCGTGCTACTTAGTTCGGGCTAGAAGGATGTATTGCTTGTTGCACCGTGCCCGAAAGTGCTCAGACCAGCAATGAACAAGAGCAACTTAGGGCTCAAATTTATTGGTTAGCGTAAGCGCATCTATCGAAACATTGTGCAATAGAAACAAGCCAGGAGCAGGGGTTGAATTAATGTCATAGGTTGGCAGTGTTCTCAGCGGACATCTGTTCCCAAACTGCCAATGTTCAACAAGTCGCGTAGTTTACGCTGAGTTTTAACCTTGCTCCAGCAAGTCATACTACATTATGAGATTACAACCCCTGGCTGAAATCAAAGCCCGGAAATGTCACTTCGTTAGAATTTGGTCCAAGTTCAGTATTCCACAGAGATAGATTTCCATTGTACGCTCCCAATAAAACGCCTAAAGTGCCTAGGCTATCTGCAACATATTGAAAGATAATTGAGAAACTTGTGAGAGTGCCCAAATGCCTCGAAATTCACATCGTGAATTTACGGCAAAGCGAAAAAATGAAGAAGAAAAAAATCGGCTCCTTTTTGCGACTATTCATCCTCGCACTACCCTTCCAATACATAGGAGTCTCAATGCCATTCAGTATATTTCTCAACCAAAGGTTGAACATTCTTTTGAATATCCACTACAAGGCCTTCCTCGGAAAGCTTCTTCTCGTAGTCAGCCTGCCACTCGTTGCAACGTCTTTTCTCACCTGGCATTGGGCCATTCTTGTCAAATTGGCATGGTGGAGCTGGCAGTGATTGGGCACAGTCCCAGAGTTTACCAACGTCTTCCTTTGTGTTTCCAAGACGTTCCTTGCGAAGGAACGACTGAGACTGGTCCAAGTTGTAGTTTTCCAGCTTTTGATGCTTCATACCTGCTGGCAGCTCAATGCCACCCCTGACCTGAATTAGAGTTCCAATGTTGGCCGTCCCAGTCTGGATGAAGATTCCAACGTGGTCCCTGGGTGAGCCAGTGAAGTAAGCCCTCCACACGGGGTACTTGGCAGCATCTTGTGCAGACATTGTGGTAAGTTTCTTTCACGAATTCTGTCGTGGATTGGAAGAATTGTCGAAAGAGTCTAGTGTTTTGAGCGGTATGATATTCGAATCGTTTCGTATGCGAATCACTCGTTGCTGCGATGTCAAAATCCAGAATCATGAGGAAGAACCTTTCCCATTTATACGAAATATCCACGCCGTCTCTTTGATATGAAGATAGAGCATTTTTGGAGGTGAACACGCCTTCAGATGTTCTGGAAAAGGAGGCTTTGTTTCTCTGATTCTGGTTTACCGCTACTCGGGTTGTGAATCACACTCGAATGACGCGAATGATAACTCTTTGATGCTTTTGCATTGTTCAGGAGCTGTGATCGCTTTTAAAACAGACCTCAATTTCTTTTTCTAAGTTCATTCGGAGCAGATAAACTCTTGAATCACCACGGATGTACAGAATCATCATCAGTCACTGTGTCTAGGCGCACAACACAAAGAAGCAGGTCTAGTAGACTTCCCATCAAGAGTTTGATTTAATTAAGTAGGCACAGCAATCGTCCTAGACTCTATTAAAGGATAAGAGTTCGAGTACAAAGTGAAAAGCAAACAACAATGGAAGATCCTAGCCCCGACAACTCAGTTCAACGAGACGTGATGGACAATTGACGGTAGTAGGTAAATTTCTAAGCTCTGTTCTTGGAAATCTCTAGCTAAGTTTCCACCTGTTTCTTATTAATATTCTCACTACACACTACGGTCAAGTCTCTGTGCCTCGCACATCTTGGCGTACAGACCCCCGTTTTCTAATAGCTGTCTATGCGTTCCCGATTCAGCAATTTTCCCACCATGAAAGACAAAGATTCGGTCAGCATCTTTCACGGTAGACAGTCTGTGCGCGACAGCAATTGTGATCCGGTCTCCAGTAGCAGCAGCATCCATGAGGGCATTCTGGACGACTCTCTCGGACTCAGTGTCCAGCGCACTGGTGGCTTCGTCAAGCAGGATCACCTTCGGCTTTCGTATCAACGCCCTCGCGATGGCAATCCTCTGTCTTTGTCCTCCAGAAAGCTGGCTGCCACTTGTTCCGCACTGAGTATTTAGGCCATCCGGTAACGATGAGACAAAATCCCACACGTTCGCGGCACGGCATGCTTGCTCAATATCTTGGTCAGAAACTGCACCAGTGATATCTATATCGACTCCCTGTGAAATATTTTCACGAATCGTTCCAGGAAATAGCGTTGGTTCTTGCTGCACCAGTGAGACATGACGTCGATAAAATAACGGATCGAGGGATGGAAGAGGTGCCGACCCATCGAAATTGATGCTTCCGCTTGTAGGGTCATAGAAACGCTCAAGGAGATATATCATTGTGCTTTTACCACACCCAGATGCTCCCACGAAAGCGAGAAATTGTCCCCGATCAGCCTAGAATAAGAATATTAGTTAGACTGGGTAGACTGTTTAGCTAAGTTGAGAGTAGAATCGCACGCACGCTCAACGACACTCCTTTAAGAACTTGGTTATTCGGGGCGAGCGGGTACGAAAACCCAACATCCTTGAACTCGCAGGACTTGCAACCAGATGGGGGGCCCTTGTCTTTATTTTCCTCAGTCTGATGGATAGTAGGCCTCAGTTGACAGAGCCAAAAATAGTAGTTGGCGGCCTGATTAGCCCCGGAAAAACCTGGCAGTAAATAAAGGGTAAGTGTTCAGTCATCGAAATGTAAATTCTGGGTGAGCACTCACTGCTGGCGAAACTGAACATTTGTCCTGCTGCCTGTCCAGAGAAATAAACGCCCATAAAAGATACCATGAACTGATAGAAGTCAATCTCGCCGTCATGTATTAGGCGAGATCCCCACCTAGAAGAAGGTCAACAGCCGACATTTTGTCATTGACCAACAGGTTTCTTACCAAAATCCAAGAGCCAGGATAAAGTACTCGATAGCTTGTGTAAGAGCAAACCAGGCCATCATATGAAACATTGACGGAGACATCTGCTCGATCGCCAAATCAAGCTCATTTGTATACTTCTTCAAAATTATATCCTCGATAGCCAGGGAAGACACCGTACGAATTGCGGTTACTGTTTCAGATGCCACAGATGCACTTGCAGCAAATCTCTGCTCCGTCTCCGATTCGATCTTGTAGTCTAGTTGGACTCGAGAATATCCTGCCACCATCATTGGCGGCAGTCCGACAAACACGCCAACAAGGCCAAGTTTCCACGATACTACCAATGCAAGAACGCTGGATGCTAATACGTTGACCCCGGCTATGATTATCAGCGCAACATTGAGGCCCATGAGCTCTAAAATGGCCTGGGGATATAAGTCGAGGTAACTGATGATCGCGCCAACTGTGTTTTCCGGGCGGTCGAAGAATTGAAGATCTTGCTGCAGAATGGAGTCGAGAATGTCTTTTCTCATCTTCGCATTCAGGCCCTTGATCTCTTTATTAGTATTATACAATCATGTGAGGAGAAAGGAAACACACCTGGCAAATGATATTGGTCGCCCAGCCAAGAGTAAAATAAGCTGCGAAACTTCCAATCGAGATGACGAAGAACATTAAAGAGACAAAATTACCCTTGGATACCATATCATCTCCCTTGAAAACGTCCATGATTTTCCCTAGGAGCAATGCTTGTCCTGGGTAAACGGCAGCTATAGATGCATCAGCTGATGGTATCATTGGAAGCACAAAGTCTTAGACCTACCAACTGCGACACAAGTCAATACCAGTAATATATACCAGATATTCAACTCGGGCGTCGCTGCCACAATCTTGAAAACGCTTCTGATCAGGCCCGTCTTCTTATAATGTTCCATGCTCCCCTGATCATCAGTGACTGCCAATTGCCCATCTTCAGTGACATCAACTTGAAATTCAGATTTGTTCATCGGACCAATGTCTCCGCCGGACGAAGATTCTTGGTCACCAACAATTGTCTCTACCTTCGTCGACTCCACAGGGGATAGGTCTTGTGCCTCGACCAGTTTGGCATAAAGTCCACCCATATCAACCAGTTTCTCATGAGAGCCTTGCTCCATCAATCTTCCTTGAGACAGTACGACGATGTTGTCGGCGTTTCGAATCGTCGCTAGCTTGTGTGCAATGACGATTGTGGTCCGATTCTTCGATGCACTGTCCAATGCCTTTTGTACAATCCCTTCTGCGTGAGGATCTAGGGCGCTGGTGGCCTCATCAAGAAGCAAGATTTTCGGCTCGGAGATGATGCTACGAGCGATTGCGATCCTCTGTTTCTGGCCTCCTGAGAGAAGGCCGCCTCTCTCGCCAATGCGAGTATCATAGCCTTCCGGTAAGTTTTCGATAAACTCATGGGCAAAGGCCAGTTTTGCTGCGTGTTGCACTCGATCCATTTGCTCCTGGCGGGGGGCATCTTGCCAGCGAGTCCCGGCCAAGCCGTAAACTATATTGTCAAAAACACTGCCATTGAATAGGACAGGTTCCTGTTCAGGTCAGATCATCAAGTAGAGCGCAACGTGAAAAGAATTGTTGTCCAGCATACCTGTTGGACGAGACGGATGTTGGTTCGGAGCCACCTCAAATTGAATTTTTTGGTATCTTCCTCGTCCAGCTTTATAGAGCCGCTTGTTGGATTATACCACCGCTCTAACAGACCAATTATAGTACTCTTTCCTGAACCACTCGGTCCCTTCAAACTTGTCAGCTCCTCGCCTCGTTATCCTGTGGAGTCTCGATCTGACTACTCACCACGAGAGCTGTAACTTTTCCGGCGGGAACACTAAGAGTGAAGTCGTGTAAGACATTGACGTCGGGACGACTTGAATACGCGAAGTTGATTCCCTCAAAATCGATTTGCCCCACAATGCTATTCGGTTTCGCCCCGTGCTCATTAAAGGGATTGATCTCTGACTGCCGGTCAATAACTTCGAATAACTCTGCCGCAGCGGCGCCAGCGCGCGTGAAATTCACCGTGTGGGGAGCTATCGAAGACAGTGTACTGGATGCGATGGTGACAGAAAACAAGACCCTGTCAACTAGACGTTAGCACCATAGTGAAAGACGAGCGACATTAACATACGTGAAAACGGTCCCGATATTAGGAACCTCGTTCCTAGCGATCATGCCAACGCCCTGCCAAAACGCAAGGCCCATGCCAGCGTATATAACAAAATACTCTCCCCCAAACATGAAGCCATACAAGATATTCTTCTTCATGCCAACTTTATATGCTTCTTGGAGGTAGGCGTCATACTTGAATATGATCCTCGGTCGAAGGTTAAACGCATGGACCGTTCGGATGCCACCCAGGACGCTCTCAGCCAAGCTTCCCGCATTCGCATAGATTTTCAAAATATCTGTCTCTATTTTGGCGTCCGGAATAGATAAAACAACAGAGAGTGCGACGGTAAGTGGGACAATGCAGATGATAATCAGAGTCAACTTCCACTGGCTGATGAATGCGATGATGAAGGCTGCGACGAATGTGCTTATTGACTGAATGACAATGCCCAGCTTTTCAGAGGTACCGGATTGGATGAGCTTCCCATTTGATGTCGCTTGTGCGGCGATGGATCCGGAGACGCCTTTGTCAAAGTAGCCAGTTTCCTGGCTGAAGGCAGCTTTCAGATATTCGTAACGGATATTTCGAGTCAGCTGGTAAGAGACGTAGGTGAATAAGGAAGAATACATGTATGTCCCGACAAATCGCACAATGCCAATATAGACAAAGTAAAGACTAAGAAAGGAGTAAGATTGTAAGTCAAAGACCTTGCCCGAGAAGGCACTTGGACTCACGCGGTAGTTTGAACAGCTGGCATAAACTCGTCGCTTGTCGAGCCAGAGATGTTGGCATCGTTCAGAATCGAAATGAAGCGTCCAAGGACAACATTCACCATTGCCAGTGCAACCCCTGAAGCGACAGCACCTAATACAGCAAGCAACCCAAGAAGATACTCCCTGGGGCTTCCATACTTAAATACTCTCTGCCCTCGCGGTCAGCACGTGTCCCAGGGACCTTTGAACATTGGAAAAGTCTTACAAAGTAGCCATTTGAACCAGACGGTTCTTGGTTTTCCTGTTGAGTCTCTGTATTGTTGTTTTTTTCAGACAGTTCACCAGCTTTCTCAGACACAGCTGAAGCTGCCATTGCACCGCAAATTCGCAGTCTTCAGCCAAAATAAATTGGAAGAAATGGCGGAATCTTGGAAAGGGCCAAGAAAACATCTTCCAAGCTCTCAGATGGTGATATGAGAACTCTTTCAATATTTGACTTCGATTTCGGACACGCACGCCAGAGCCCCGAAAGCCGAAAATAAAGGCATCAATCCACATCAATCAGTCAGTAATTCTACGCAGCAAGAACACATCAATCAGCAAAACTCATCTCGGGGCACGGGCGCCAAGAGAGCGTGTCCGTGAGCCGTGACTAGCATCTGGGCTTCGGCACGCGGAACTCCGGCTTCCGGACTTCTGTTGTCGTGGGGCAAGACGCGAATCGACGCCAGAAGACTTTTGCCGTCACGCAATCAATCTTATCAGATCTAAAAAGACGCAGCCCCGAACGCAGACGCTCGCAGTCCATCATTCCCGGAGACCGAGGGCCCCATAACTAACCCTCTCAGACATACAGTCCGTCCTAGGGCCCGGCATATCTTGGCTTGTCAGTCGTGCAGCCGGACTCGTGCATGATCTGCCTCCGCTCCGTCCCTGAGGCACAGACACCGTCCATATACCATGTCCTCGATGCTGAACCACCCGCAGCAGGGGCAGCTGCAGCCCGAGGCGAGTCAGCAGGAACAGACTTCCACGATAGGCGTGCTAGACGACGAGGACCAGGACTATGAAGACTCGGCCGTGCATGACGAGTCATATGGCCAAGCCGGCGAGCGTCACGGCCCCGATGGCAATCCCACCGAGTCCTTTGCTGTACGTCGAGTGGCCCACTCTTGCTCCCTTTGTGCTCCCTTTTGTGCTCTCCATGGTGATAGACATGTTTTGCATCTGCTGACCCTGTAGCAGTGTGTGAATTGCCGGCAACGTAAGGTAAATACACCACAAACCACACCGACCCAAGCCCTTTCCAAACAATTCCGCTCGTCTACCTTTTGCTTAGTTTCGTACGAGCTCTGACAAGAAATCACAATGTTTACGCTGTAACCTGTTACCCCTGTTTAGGTGAAATGCGACCGCGTCTATCCTTGCTCTCACTGCGTCAAGACAAGTGTGCAATGCGTCTTCCTCTCCAACCAGAAACGCAGAATCAAGAGGCAACGGGTCCACATCTCAGACATCTAGTGAGGCATTATCCTTGACGTGACTCTTCGCTGCCCTCGCTGCTAATGTTTATCTTCTATTGTAGTGAGAACAAGATTGATCAGATTGCCTTGCGAATTGAAGAGCTGAATAGGACCATCAGCCAACTCAGCATCGCTCAACCTCAACCAGACAAGACAGCCGGCGGGTCAACGAACACTACCCAACATGCCTCACACATAAACTCATCACCGGGACTGATCAACAATACGCCGTCGTCTGGTGCTACTTTGGCATACGAAGAGAAGCAGACCCCGCCAACACAGCCGGAGTTCGAGGGAGAATCGTCGCTCTCAGCACACGCCACGTTTGCTACCAAATTCCTCCAGAGCTGTGTCAGTAACAGCCCGTCATCCAAGGTCATGCTAGAGATGACATCTGTTCTGGATACCCTCAAGGCCATTGTCGATTCTCAGAAACAGAAAGCGGACACGCTCGAAACATTGTACCCAAATGCACGACCTCTTCCCGCGGGAGCAAGTCTCCGGCAACTCCCCCCTTTATCCATCGAGCATGCTCTTGCCGCCCTTCGAATGGTACAAGGTAGGAAGAAGTCTGTAAATCTTGTGGAACTTCTAAGCATGCTAACTGTCTCCCAGAGAACAGCCGCATTCGGGCCCTGTGGCTGATGGATGTCCAAACACTCTCACAATTCACTGGCCACTTTATCAAGGTCTGCTCTCCCGGACCTGCGACGGAAGCAGATCTCATCATCGTATATGCGGGCTTCTACTGGCTGTTTGAGGAATGCTCCAAGGAGGTACCTGACGACACGCTCAAACAAGCATATAATGCTCAGACAATCATATGCAGAGATAATCTAGAGACGACTCTGTCGCGACTCCCCTTCCATCTCATGGCAACATTGGACAATGCCTTTGCGCTTACGCTTGCGGTAGGTGTATCCAACACTTGATGTTAGAATGTGACTGACCAGGTGTGATTCAGACTCTGTATTGCTTAGAAAAATGCAAGCCATCTGCTGCATGGGCTTTCATCTGCACAGCTTCGCAGCAAAGCCAAGCCCTTGGCCTTCATAGCATGATCGCATGGCACACGGAAACAATGGAGTCAAAGCAGTACAGGATGCGGTTATTCTGGACCATATATACCGTGGAGAAGACGCTGGCGTTCCGCCTGGGACGGTCGTCAACCATCCGGGACAACGACATCTCGATCCCTCGTATCAGCAACGATGCTTCATCCGAATACGGAATCGACGACACCTTCTCTTTCTGGATCGAACTGTCAAGCCTCCAGGGCCGGGTGTACGACGAGGTGTACAGCCCCATTTCACTAACCCAGCCAGAGGAAATTCGATCAGCCAGGGCTCGCGGCCTCGCTACCCAAGCAAGAGGCCTCCTTCACGCACAGGATCAGCTTCAGGTATGAGAATATTTATCGTCCACTTCAGTTCTCTGAGATACTAATTCACGATTGCAAACAGAGACAGAACCACGCGATAAGATCAGAGCTAATGGGAGCCGGATTGTCCGAGCTGCTGTGGCGTGCCGATCGCGTGACGGCTCTATCAATGCTTACTCTCATCTACCGCAGCATCCCGCCCGAGGATGCTTCCAAATCCGTGTTCTGCACCGAGTGCCTCTCTGCCGCAAAAGAGGCATTGATAGAGCACGAGAAGTGTGTGGCTATTCTGACAGACAAGGAGTTTCAGCCAGATATGTTAGAATTATACGTGAATTGGTACGTTCCCCATGTAAAAAGGCAACCAAGGGGGCATAGACTAATCGTGCGTGGGCCAAAAGGGCGCTTCTCCAATCTCCGTTCACTCCGTTCATCGTGCTGTTTTGTCACATCATCGAAACATCAGATCCCTCTGACTTGGAATGCCTGAAGAGACTGGTGGAGATTCTAGAAATCGCCGCCTCGACCCCTAAGAATGTCATTTGCGAACGACAGCTTCGCCTGTTCAAGGCACTTTACGACGTTGCGATCAAATACTTTGAAATCAGGGCAGAGACTTCACAGGCGGAACATGGCGTCCAAGGCGCAGACGGCTTGGGAGGCCCATACCTCGACGCGGCCAACGGCGGGTTGCTTCAGCATCAGTCCACCACGTCGCTCTTGGGATCCGGATCACTTCTTGGGCCTGGCTCTGAGATTACGTACGGTCCGGTAGAAGATCCCGTCTCTAATCTGGGGAATAATAATGTAAACCAGGTGCCAGGTCAGCAACGGGTCATGCCAGGGGCAAGAGTTGGCCATTTCAACCCGCAAGGGCCAGGGGCTACCAGAATGGAGATGGAGCAGTCGGGCGCAGGTCTAGCCACCTGGTTCTACTTGAATGATCAGATGATTCGGATGCTGGGAGAAAGCTAAGCTAGGATATTTCCATAAGGGGCTTCGACCAGCTACAAGCACTCAGCTGAAATCAGGGTGCCTGATGGTCTTCTTCGCCAATGATTTACAACTTCTCTGCTTATGGAGGGTCCCCCAGGGCAACTATGCCCCGGTTAGTAGCTATGTCAACTCGCTTTTGGCCGGGGCAAAGGAATACGACTTCTCGATGCAATTATCTGGCACATCCAGGGGTAGTTGAGGCCAAGCGGTTCCTTATGCCGAACCATCAGTGGTGATATCTTACTCACTACTCAGTTTATACAACGACCGTCGTTCTTTGGGTCATCTTAATTACAGGCATGGGTTCATGGAGAAGTCGGGTATGGCCGGCATTCAGATATGCTCAGGAGGGGGGTTTCCAACCAAATTATGGATAATACTCGACGCTAGACCTCGATCACTGTCGAGCTTCCGGATTCATGTAGTCTTGGCTTTATTCGAAACAAGCCCTAATACCCTGATCTTCTCGTCCATATCTATTATACAACAAGTTAATAAAGATATAAAAGAGGGGTATTTTCAGCAGCTATACCTCTCCTGGTACTAAAAATAATATATTATCTCTTATACCCCTATTTATAGATTTATATAAATCTGTCTAATATATTACTAAGCTGCCTTATATAATATAGGAAGGTTACTAAGGAAGTTAAGGTATCTAATATATTAAACTGGTTTCTTAAGGGATATAGATATAGTCTCTAAGAAGCTAGCTATATCTATATCCCTTCTAATCTATATCTCTTTATTTTAGCTATATCTATAGTAACAGGGTAGTTAGTAAAGCTATTATAAGTTAATATCTTCCTTAATAGAAGTAGTAGCTTTAGCTACTATAGCTATCTTAAAGCTAACTAATAAGAATAATATATTTAATAATAAGATTAATAATTTACTTATATTATATACTATATATAAATATCTTTATTAGTAGCAGGCTTAAGCCCGGACTTAAGCCTATTATATAAATTATAATACTATTAACCCGGGTAGTTATTTTACTACCTTTAAATATACTTAAGCTCTAATAGATTTACTAGACCTAATATTCAGAGAGTAATTTTATATTAATAAGGTATAGTTTAAAGCTCTTATTAGTTAGATAGGTTTAAATATTTAATTAAAGGGCTTATAATACTAATCTCTTAGCCAGAAGCTCTTTATAATCTTCTATATCCTCGGGTAAAGCTATATATAATAGATAGTAGCTAAGTTCTTCTAG